GAGGAAGACTTCGGTGCTCAGAGATAAAATCCTTGAGGCAAATCTGTGAGGAAAATGCATCAAAAGAATCGAAACTAATCTGACGGCAAACTGGAGGAATAAAACATATATTATGTAATATATATTAAAGCTATTAGCTGAGCTTCAGGAGCAGGACCTATTCTACATATTCTACAACCAGAACAGAGACAAAGCCTTGAGCATGCTAAGCTAACAGTCAATCTAGCTACTTCATCCATTCATTCACTCCAGGTGTCGGGATCTTTAGGATCAGCTGGCGCCTTCGGCACAGCACCCAGCTTTCCTCTACAGCTCTTGCAGAAGCAATTTCCTTCTTTACCGAACTCCAGTTTTCCCTCTCAACATGTTCTAGCCCCGACAGGCAGCCATTAACTTCATCCTGTCTACAGCCGATCCTCCCGTCCGTCATTCAAACTCATTCATCTCCCATCCTTCTTTATTTCCCACCAGTCTACGAAAACAGATCTCACACGGAAATCACTCAAATCTCACTCTCCTCATCATGCCTTCCCTCCATCAAACGTCTTATCAGTTTCCCACAGGACACCGACAGGATATGGATGACTACATTAACCACGCCATAGGCCTCATCAAACTGGCCGGGAAAAGGGTCGTGGCTCTCAAAAGTGGACACCATCAGTGCTTTCAAGGTTCTCCCCATCCACCCTGAACTCTGGCAATTTTTTGGCGTCAGTCTCATCTTCTGTTGCAAAAGTAACCCAAAACTCTTTGACACCCTGTCAGAAGACCTCTGCTGGATCCGGTCTCACCATAACCATTCAATAAAACTCACGACACAGGCTTCACTCCCAATTTCCTTCTTGCGCTGCACAAAACAGAAACTATAAGCCTTTAACTCCCACTTGCTATCAATCGCGTCTTCTATCTCCCTGGACAGTCCAAGTCCTGTCAAACTCCACCTCTAGCTCCACCTTCTCGCCAACTGTAATGGAATCACCTTCTTCTACGACGAGCAACTGACTCACCCACACTACATCAATCTGTAAACTGACGCTGCTCCTTCTTTCGTTTGCAGCTGAATGACCATCTGAACTTGCGAGTGAAAGCAAAGTCACTTCCTCTGCTCTCTTCGAAATCTACCCGATAATAGCCACAGTTCCAACCTCGCATTTGTAGAAATAATAAACAAAGGTTGCTCCAACGCCTCATCCACAATGCCATTCACGCAATGCCAGCTTTGGCACTTACCAATACGTCATTCCCAACGCCATCACTGACTCTCTTTCTGATTTCTCTTTCCAGAAGTTCAGAAACTTGGTCCTCCACCACGCAGACAACCTCACAACTCCGGTTTCTTCTTATTCGACACTGAGGTTCTACATGTAAGCCTGCCCTAATTACCCTGAATGTCAACTCTCAGTACTCCATCGTCAAAGAGCAGCACCCTCAACCTGTTCATCTTACTGCTCAGCAGGACACATCTTGTGAGGAGCAAAAGAGGAAGTACTAGGTACGAACCGAACAACACCCTAGGAGACAATGGGGATAAAAGGTGCTGCACAAGGAAGATCAGGGTTAGTCCTCGGCCGGCTCTCGGGTTCAAGACGCTGATCGATCGACCACATCGGAGCAACGAACAAGCTCAACATCGCAGAAAGAGAAGTCCAACAACCTAAAGCCGAAACGAGAGTGTCGAGCAGAGGAGGATTAACCATTTTGTTTCCAATTGATTTCTAAGGATCACTCTTTTTTTCACCCTGCCAGCAGAGACTGCACTGGTCAGAGACTTTGCGGACTTTGGACAAAGTCGGGAGTTTCAACAGCAACCAACAGTACGGCAGGCAAGGAAGAACTGTATTGGCCGTACACAATTTTGAGTCAATTTATGCTGTATGCTAGCCCTTGCTGAATCTTGCAATAAAATATAACATCTGCAGTTAAAGAATAGATTGTGAACATTGGATTTATGATATCTCATCAGGTCGTAATTATTAGGATGTGTGTTCAACAACTTGAAGGTTTTAACAGGTAGCCAAATAAATTAAACAGACCCTTGGGGCTTACTGTCCAAGCCACTAAAAATAATCCTAGCAACCACCAAGTGCACAGATCAATAAGAGGAGAGCTACCGTTAACGAACGTGACTAGTGTGTTACTTGACTCTAGGGCTATTCGGTCAGGTGCTGCACTAGAGTGAGCAGGGTAGGCGTTTTGATGAAGGCAGTTAGAAGCTAGGTGTGTCTCCTCGCCACCAGCTTAAACAGTCCTCTTCTGAACCTGGCAGGGTAATACCCACAGGCAAGAGGCTCAGCCCCTTAAACGGCTCATGGAAGTGAAACTCTTCAAAGCTGAGCAGTAATACGAACGGGTTGAGGGTGCTGCTCTTTTGACGATGGAGTACTGAGAGTTGACATTCAGGGTAATTAGGGCAGGCTTACATGTAGAACCTCAGTGTCTAAGAAGAAGAAACCGGAGTTGTGAGGGTGTCTGCGTGGTGGAGGACCAAGCTTCTGAACTTCTGGAAAGAGAAATCAGAAAGCGAGTCAGTGATGGCGTTGGGAATGACGTATTGGTAAGTGCCAAAGCTGGCATTGCGTGAATGGCCTTGCGGATGAGGCATTGGAGCAACCTTTGTTTATTATTTCTACAAATGCGAGGTTGGAACTGCGGCTATTATCAGGTAGATTTCGAAGAGAGCAGAGGAAGTGACTTTGCTTTCACTCGCAAGTTCAGATGGTCATTCGGCTGCAAACCATCTTCCGTTGTAGAAATCCTCAAAAAAACGAAAGAAGGAGCAGCGTCAGTTTACAGATTGATGTTGTGTGGGTGAGTCAGTTGCTCGTCGTAGAAGAAGGTGATTCCATTACAGTTGGCGAGAAGGTGGAGCTAGAGGTGGAGTTTGACAGGACTTGGACTGTCCAGGGAGATAGAAGACGCGATTGATAGCAAGTGGGAGTTAAAGGCTTATAGTTTCTGTTTTGTGCAGCGCAAGAAGGAACTTGGGAGTGAAGCCTGTGTCGTGAGTTTTATTGAATGGTTATGGTGAGACCGGATCCAGCAGAGGTCTTCTGACAGGGTGTCAAAGAGTTTTAGGTTACTTTTGCAACAGAAGATGAGACTGACGCCAAAGAATTGCCAGAGTTCAGGGTGGATGGGGAGAACCTTGAAAGCACTGATGGTGTCCACTTTTGAGAGCCACAACCCTTTTCCCGGCCAGTTTGATGAGGCCTATGGCGTGGTTAATGTAGTCATCCATATCCTGTCGGTGTCCTGTGGGAAACTGATAAGACGTTTGATGGAGGGAAGGCATGATGAGGAGAGTGAGATTTGAGTGATTTCCGTGTGAGATCTGTTTTCGTAGACTGGTGGGAAATAGAGAAGGATGGAAGATGAATGAGTTTGAATGACGAACGGGAGGATCGGCTGTAGACAGGATGAAGTTAATGGCTGCCTGTCGGGGCTAGAACATGTTGAGAGGGAAAACTGGAGTTCGGTAAAGAAGGAAATTGCTTCTGCAAGAGCTGTAGAGGAAAGCTGGGTGCTGTGCCGAAGGGGCCAGCTGATCCTAAAGATCCCAACACCTGGAGTGAATGAATGGATGAAGTAGCTAGATTGACTGTTAGCTCAAGGCTTTGTCTCTGTTCTGGTTGTAGAATATGTAGAATAGGTCCTGCTCCTGAAGCTCAGCTAACAGCTTTAATATATATTATATAATATATGTTTTATTCCTCCAGTTTGCCGTCAGATTAGTTTAGATTCTTTTGATGCATTTTCCTCACAGATTTGCCTCAAGGATTTTATCTCTGAGCACCGAAGTCTTCCTCAACAACCGACTGGCCGACTTCTGTCAGAGAGTCGATAACTTCTCTCCTGGTAACTACTGGGAAATACAAACAATACAAATCAGTCAATACAATACAATCACTGCTGTTGTGTTGTTGTCTTTAGGGGAGCAGCATCTGAGCCTCCTCCTCTCTCTTCTTTTGGCCTCCCAGGATGTAATCGAGGGTCTGAAAGCTCTGGGACACAAAGATAAACCTGCAGGAAGATTCTACAGCGTGGTCAACGTCGTGGAGATGGACGGCGTCTGCATCAGCGCCTGGTCCGATGCCAGGAAACAGGGCAAAGCCGCTGGTTACTGAGGCCCAGGAGCAAACATAGATTAGCCGAGCATGTAGCATATCTAAGTACAGGAAAGGAGAAAGTACTGTTATTGGTCTGTAAATTAAAAACGTCAGTTCTTATTTCTTTCTTATTTTCAGGTGATTATAAACTAATGAAAACATTCCTATGAATATTATATGATATTATATTATATTTCTGACAGTAAATCCTTCTAAATGTTAAACACTGGACCCTAAAGTTAAATAGAAAAGACATTTATAGACAATGTATGGTGGAAATATTTCAAAATAAAACAATTTATTGATTTCTTTTTGTGTGTATAAAAATAAGAATAAATAAGATAAGATTGAATAATTAAGAGAAAATGTTAAAGATCTGAATAATGTCAAATAAATAGTACTAATAATGAATTAGGTGATCTTAACTTACGTCATTATGTATCTACCATCTGGCATTTTTCTCTTTTTCATAAAGACTCAAACAACCTGTTAACTTCAATAATCGATTCTATATCAACCAAATGATATCATAAGGTTTTAAGGTTCTGTCTGTGAGGGTGATTTCGATGGGGTGGAAACTTGTAATTTAACAAAGAAAATGTATTGATTTTAAATAATCTTGATCAGTTCTTTACTGCTGTGCCACAATAATGTAACATTTATGACTTCAAATATCTTCATTTTGAGGCTTTTTCAAGTAAATATTCGATAAAAGTGATTAAATCAGCCTCTGGGCCGTTTCACAGCCCCCATCACCACCCTGGTTAAGTGCCACAGAGGCGGGTCTACAGAGGTTTTTAAGGTGAAAGGCATGACTCAACAGTTGTGCCAAAGCTTTCTCCCTCTCTCTGTGCGCTCCCGGCGGAGGGTGGAGTCTGGCTGAGCGGTGCCCGCCCCTCTTTTCATGTGGTCCTGTGCTGCCTGTCAGTCAGTGAAGTTATAGCACAAGAGAAAGATCAGAAGAAACTTTGACACCTCGCGGAGGTGTTGGATAAAATCAGCCATGGCGAGGTCAAAGGCGAAGGTGTACTGTTGCTGCGCACTGATCCTGCTCTCTGTGATTGCTGTGATTGTGTGTATTGCTGTATTTGTGAGCCGCAGATGTCCACATGACACTTTCTCCAAAGCAGCAGTGGCCGCAGACTCTGGGGTCTGTTCACGGATTGGACTGTGAGTGGCATTTTTACACCTTTTGTTCCACAGACATTGATATCTGTTGTGCGCAGTTTCCACTTTACGCACGACACATTTTCTACTTTACCACTTTATATCTTTGAGATTTGCTTAAGCTGCATGCTCTAAAAGTTATTACCTGCTTATATAAAACTAACTACAACTTAAACTCTATTAAATGTGCCTCATGGAACCAAATTCCAATAGAATTCCTCCATAGAGCGGATATAAACAAGGAAACTGACACCAGCGTATATGCAAAGCACCAACACGCCTTTTTCCGTACTTGGTGGTTTGCTCTAACATAACGGATACATAAATTAGCTGCACTGATGGTTGTGGGTTTGAAATCTTGCAGGGACATCATTAAAAGTGGCGGCTCAGCGGTAGATGGCGCCATCGCCGCACTGCTGTGCACCTCCGTGATGAACCCACAGAGTATGGGCATCGGAGGGGGGTCCATATTCACAGTGATGGACAGCTCTGGTAACATTCATCCCAACACAGCAGAAATAACCAGCCTGTGTTTTCCTGCTGCTGTTGAGACCACTGACAACATCTCCTCTTTTTAAAAATAAAGGTAAAGTGAAAGTCATCAACTCCAGAGAGACCGTACCCAGGAGCTTTAAACCGGACCTGCTGCGTTCCTGCAACAGCAACTTCTTACAGATGACAGGTAACAGATACTGGTTCACTTTTCCTCAGAAGGAGTTTTACTGGTTGTTCCTGTTCTTGTTGCACTATAAAATACAATCATTTGGCTCAACTCGATTTGTCTTTAAATTAGTTCATTGTACGAATTATATCCAGTTAATTGAACTTTAATAAAAATATAACCATCCAAACTTATTAAACCTATATATCTGAATAAAGCAAAATATCTTTATTAAGTTGAAATTAAAGTATAGCATATTTATAAAACACTAAAGTTAAATTTAATTTAATTTTAGTTCCATTAAAGCAAAAAATATTACATTTCACTGTAAAACCTGAAAACATCTTAATAAAATAAATAAGTTAACATGAATTAATCTTCTCATTCACATTAATTAAACTCAAAAACTTTGAAGCAACTTAATTCCAGTTTGTTCTATTGACTCATTGTCTTCAAGTTGACTTTATATAAAAATATAAACATTATAATGTTGTATAACTCAGGATTGTTCAAAGTGTAAATATTTTATTTAACACTTTTAATTAATACTAATTTCCATTTTAATAATCAATTCATTAGTTGTTTTTATTCTACGTTTAGTGCACTGTAATAAAGTTATTTTAACAAAAGAAATTTACATTGAAAAGTTAAAAAATATTCTTGATTCAGCAGCTTTTAATAGTAATTTTAAGTTTTAAGATTCTTAGTTTTGTAACAGAAACACTCCTGATTAAGTTAATCAGTATTTAATATTTTATTTTCACAGTGAAATTACTGAAGATACTTGACCAAATATGTTTTTTTAACTTACAAAATTGATTAGGGGCGACTGTGGCTCAGAGGCAGTATGGGTCGTTCCTAAATCGGAAGGTTGTGGGTTTGATCCCCAGCCCCTGGCCACATGTCGAAGTATCCTTGAGCAAGATACTGAACCCCAAATCGCTCCCGATGCCGTGCATCGGTGTGTGAATGTGTATGAATGTTAGTTTCTGTTCGATGGACTTTGCCATCACTGAGTGAATGTGTGTGAAAGGGTGAATGTGGCACGTAGTGTAAAAGCACTTTGAGTGGTCGGAAGACTAGAAAGGCACTATACAAGTACAGGTCCATTTACCATTTACCATTTTTACTTAAAATCTTTAAACAAACTTATCTGGTTTTATTTAATTAAAATTTATTTAAGTGACTTTATTCATTAATAAATGAACTGTTTAAGCAATAACTCTGCAGTATTTTAAGTATTAGTGATATAATTCAGGTTTGTTTGATTGATTTATTTTCTTTAAAGTGATTTAACATTGTTACAAAAATACTTTAATTTAAAATTAAATCAGTTTTTGTTTTTATTTTAGTTTATAAACTCAAATAATTCTTAATGATCCTTCAAAGTGCAAAGATTTCTTTTATTGTCCGTCAAACTGTTTAAGGAAACCAATAAACATATGAAAGTAAATGTTTGATTTGAGTTACTCAAGTATTAATTGTTAAGGTAATTTAAGTTAATTTGTACTAATTATATTCAGTCAATTTAAGTTTTTACAAACTTTTTTAAAATGTGTGAACAGAATTTATGTAATTAAGTTATGTAAACTTTGGTGTTTTACAGTGCAGGTATCAGGTTCCTGCTGGAGGAGGAAATAATTATCTCAGTTTATTTACACACGGTTGGAATATTTATATCGAGGTCTGAAGCTGAAGAGTGTCTGTCCTTTGTCTTCATGCAGTGGAGTGTATACACACTGCGGTGGGGCTGAGACCACACACACACACACACACACACACACACACACACACACACACACACACACACACACACACACACAGAGAGAGAGAGAGAGGCCTAAAACTGAAGCCCTGAAGCTTTTCATCCTGTTGTGACATGTAAACATAATCAGAGAGGATTCAATCTGTAACGGCTGTAATGGAACATTATTATTATTATTTAGTAACAATATCACAGATACAAACAATATTATAAAGATAAACTGTAAAGTCTACAGATATATATTATTGTTAGTAATTTAAAATATGTTTATTATTATTATCTTCCTATCGGCTCTGACTGATAGTGAATTACATTATAAGGTTGTTAATACTGATGAATTAATGTGCATGAAGTGATTAATGAGGGTTGGAAAGAAAAGAAAAACAAAGTTCTGTTAAACAAAACTTTTATTTATTTATTTTCTCTAAACTTTCTCTCACTTATTTGTGTAATGTTTGATAATTTGACGTCTTTCTGGCTATAAATGTAAATTAAATGAAACAATGTGAGAACTTTAGAGGGGAAACGTCTCTTGATGCTTTGAGCCGAAAGGGTTTAATTATGTTCATTACCTATCATATATTCTTATATAGCCGAAGCCCCGCCCCTTTTTGCTCTGTGATCCAATAACAATTGAGCAAACTTCCTCCTTTCCTGTACATAGATATGCTATATGCTAAGCTAATCTATGTTAAAAAGACAACCACATTTTCAAGATGTTTAAAAAATAAAAACAACATATATACAGCCACATCTCACGTTAGCTAATGTCAGCAGAACTTTAACGTCTCGGTAAAACCTCCGGGTTCTGAACTGTTGCAGTTCCACTCTGGCTCCACATGAGGGCGCTCACAGGATGAGTGCAGAATGAATGGAGCTCTATGGAGCTATACCCTCAAAATCCACTTTTCTCAGGATATAATTTTTTTGTCTAGTAATTTGAATGCTGCATTCGAAAGGGGACGCAAAGAAATTACACATTGCTGGGTGTTAGATTTTTTAATAATAATAATAATAATAATAATACATTTTATTTATAAGTGCTTTTCCAAATACTCAAAGACACTTTACATAAAAACATAAAAGCAGCAAAACAACATCAAATAGTAAAACATTAAAAACACATCAGACTAAGCTAAACATTAAAAGCAATTTTAAAAAGGTGTGTTTTTGTCAGTGATTTGAATGTTGGAGGGTCGGTACAGTCACGGATGTGTTTGGGGAGAGAGTTCCAGAGGGAGGGGGCAGCTACAGAGAACGCTCTGTCGCCCCAGGTTCGGTGCTTGGTCCGGGGTGGAGGAGTCAGGAGGTTTGCTTCAGATGAGCAGAGGCTGCGGGATGGATTGTGGCGATGGAGCAGGTCAGTGAGGTAGGAAGGAGCCTGGTTATGGAGGGCTTTGTGTGTAAGGAGGAGGATTTTGAACTGAATGCGCTGTGGAACTGGGAGCCAGTGGAGGTTCTGGAGGTGGACGGGGTGGGTGAGCATACGTGCAGCGGAGTTTTGGATGTACTGTAGCTTATTTAGAGTTTTGGATGGTGTGCCATAGAGGATGCTGTTGCAGTAGTCGATTCTGGAGGTGATGAAGGCGTGGATGAGGGTTTCAGCAGCAGAGAAGGAGAGTGATGGGCGAAGACGGGCAATGTTCTTGAGATGGAAGAAGGCAGTTCTGGTGATTTGGTTTATGTGATGTTCAAAGGAGAGGTTATTGTCAAAGATGACTCAGAGGTTGCGACTGTGGGGGGATGGAGACCGGGTGGAGCTGTCAATGGTGAGGTGGAAACTGTCTGTGGTTTTGGTGAGGGATTTGGGGCCGATAATGATAAGGTCTGATTTGTCACAGTTGAGTTTGAGGAAGTTGGAATGCATCCAGGATTTGATGTCGGTGAGGCAGTTGGAGAGAGTGGAGTGAGTGGCCGGGGTGATGGATTGGGTAGAGATATAAAGCTGGACGTCATCGGCATAACAGTGGAAGTGGAGACCATGGTGGCAAATGATGTTGCCAATGGGGAGCAGGTAAAGTATGAAGAGGAGAGGACCAAGCACCGAACCCTGGGGGATGCCTTGGGACAGGGGAGCAGTGGAGGAGGTGCATTTGTTGATATGGATGAATTGTTGTCGGTCTGTGAGGTAAGATTTGAGCCAGGAGAGTGCAGTGCCAGTGATGCTGAGAGAGGACTCAAGGCGGGAGAGGAGAATGGTATGGTTGATTGGTGTCAAAGGCTGCAGTGAGGTCCAGGAGGATAAGGATGGTGAGGTGGCCGGAGTCAGCGGAGAGGAGGATGTCGTTGGTGACTTTCAGGAGGGCTGTTTCAGTGCTGTGTTGGGAGTGGAAACCGGATTGAAATGGTTCGAACAGTTCATTTGAGCAGAGGTGGGTTTTGAGTTGTGTGGTGACAATACGTTCCAGTATTTTGGACAGAAAGGGAAGATTGGAGATGGGCCGAAAGTTTGACATGACGTCAGGGTTGAGTCCAGGTTTTTTGAGGATGGGGGTGACAGCACCCAGTTTGAGTGAGCGGGGGACTGAGCCAGACTTGAGGGAGGAGTTGATGATTTCTGTGATGAGTGTGGAGATGGCTGATAGAGAGTCCTTGATGAGGTGAGATGGGATCGGATCCAGGACACATGTAGAGGTTTTCATGCCTGTCATGATTTTGGGCAGCTCCCCTGGTGACACGGGGCAGAACTGAGACAGAGGCTGAGAGGTGATGGGGGGAGGAGCAGATGAAGGAGTGGGATTGCAGGCTGTGGGGGCAGGAGCGGAGGACAGGTTGTTATAAATGGTGAGTCACTTATTTGCTTTAAAAAGTCTTTTAAAATGTCAGTGACGTCATACACATTGTACGGCCAGAGATACTGCTTTACGGCAAGCCTCGAGTCACTTTGTGCTTCCGCGCTCTGCACCTCCTTTTCTCTCGAGGCATCGACGACACAGACGTAACGATAGGCAGATAAAAGTACCAGCAACACAAAAAAAGTTGCTGTGTTAAAAAAAAAAAACTTGGGCGAAAAAATCCGCCATAACATTCTGGTCCCGGTTCGGATGCCACGATGCCATCAAGCGGGATCTCTGGTCGTAATCAGTCCTTCACTGACCAATCAGAGTTCATTAGCAGATGCTAGGCGTTTGGGCACACAACTCGTCCTGTAAGAAATATCAGAACTCCTTAATTCAATTTACCTATAACCCTATTTTCAAAACTTCAATCAGATCTAAATTTTTTTTATAATTCTTTCTATGGGCGCCCCCCCCGCCCTTGAGTATTAAAATACAATGGGACTGAATAGAGAGGGCTCATGTCATTGTACTCAAAGATCCCCTAAAAATTTTTTTTATACATACATTCGCATGAACAAACTTGAGTAAAATATATTATGTATTTAGGCCAATTAGGGCTAATTTGGCCAAATTATGCTAATCCGTGCTAATGTCCCAAATACTTCTTACTGATTTATGTAGGCTACATCTCTTTGATTCTGTGTGGAAGTACATGTGAGATCTCTCTTTGTATCAGGTTATATGAACCCACACTCTGATGACATTTTCATTTTAATGGCCTTTTAACAGGGTCCCAATTTAACATGAAAAAATGTCCTAATTTAAAAATGTAAACATAAATTTAAAACAATATATCTTTATTTTGGTACACTATATAACTATATATGTCTGTATATATTTATATCCACAATGTATTAGTAATCAGATTTTATAACGTTATATTAAAATCAAGGGGAGAAGTAAAATGTTGTTTTCTTATGCTGTCCCAGATTACCTGAATTCACCATAACTACTGTCACCTGTCTACCCGTCTGCAGGAAGTGACTGGATTGGGATCCCGGGTGAAATTCGGGGCTATGAAGAAGCACACAGGCTTTATGGGAAGCTGCCGTGGGCCAAACTCTTCAAGCCGACCATCAAACTGGCCAGAGAAGGATTTCCTATCCCTGAAATTCAGGGTCGATACATCCCGTTCATTGATACAAAGGAAACCCAAACACTACGGTAGGAACGACTCCCACAGTAGACCTTTTTCACTGCAGCCATTTTGACATGAAATAGTCGGGTAAACACAGGAGTTACAATGAGTCCTACAGAAGATTACATTTTATGAGGTGGTGAAGCAGAGTGGGATTATGGGAGTTGTTGTCTTCACCACCATTGCGTCATTGCAGTCAGGCTTACAGACTGAGGCTAAAGCTAACAGGTTTGTGTAGTTTTTCCTATTGCAGAAAAAATAACTTATGAATGTTTAAAACAATCACTTTATTAAAAACATTACTTGAACATAGCCAGACAGAACAAGTTATTTGATTTTGATATAAAAACACAAATAAACTGAGTTTTTGTGAATGTTTTTGGTATAAATTGTTAAATAGTGGATCAATATAATTGAGGATGTGATCTTAATGGCTGCTCTGAATACAAGATAAATATAAAAATATGTTCTGTGTTCGCGTCCTGTAGAAAGTTGTACTCAGATAAAGACGGGAACCTGCTGAAGACCGGCGACACTGTGAAGTTTGAGAAACTGGCCGACACTTTGGAGACGATTGCGAAGGACGGGGCGGACGCTTTTTACTCGGGGAGAATAGCGGAGGATTTAATCCGTGACGTCCAGGAGGCAGGTACTGTGTTTCCCAACCCTTCTCTATCTCTGCCTCTGCACAATGATCCAATTACTAACGAACAGATCAATCGGCTCTGCAGCGATCACTCGCCGGCTCCAGCCTGAGCTGCCGGGATCCATTAAAAGTCTTGATTAGGTGGAGTTTTTGTTCAGCTCTGCTCAGCAGAACCGTTTGTCTCTTTGCTCAGGAGGAAGTCTCACGCTGCAGGACCTGGCCGAGTATAAAGTCACAGTGAGCGACGCCTGGGTTGTTCCTCTGGGAGAGTACCAGATGCACATCCCTCCACCGCCTGCAGGGGGCATCCTCCTCAGCCTCATCCTCAACATCATGAAAGGTTTCCTGCTCAGGCAGCAACCGTTTTAGTTTTTAAATGTGGGAAACAAACTCAGGAAACTAGCTTCTTTTTTTAATTTTTAAAACAAAAAACTGAAATTATTACGTTCTTTAGTTGTTGTTTGTTCTTTAATGAAACGAATGAACAACTTGTACGCATGTTTTTTAAATTATTTTAGTTTCTGGTGGTATTTTTGGTTTATTTACGGTTGTATAAGACTATAAACTGATATAAAATAATAGATTTAAAGAGATATTTATGAAATGCTGCACAAATAAGAATCAAATTGTGGGAGATCGTTGTGTATCGAGGGGTTTTTACCCAATTAAAGAGAGTTAATTCTTAGCTATATGACCTGGTGTGCTTTTGTAAACAAGCACAGTTTAAATAAAAATATTCCCACACAAATTTAATTCAATTTAAAACAGGTAGAAACTATAGAAATAAAGATTAACTGAGAGAAGTTTTTTAATTACTGCTGACTTTTACCAACTGGGAGGCTGATTTTAGAGTTTTGAAGTATATAAACAATGAATATCTTACAGGAAACAGGAAACGTCTTCGTACAAATATAAAACTGTTTGTATTTGCAGGTTATCAGCTGAATTCGGCCTCTCTGAAGGGCGATCAGAAGAAGGCGGCCTATCATCGTTATATCGAAGCTTTAAGGTTCGCCAACGGATTAAAGACACACATCCGGGATCCAAAGTTCATGTCGCCAGAAGTACGTTTCTGTAAAAATGTGCATATTTATCGTATTTTAAGTATTAAAAGCTAATAACCAAAGTATTTAGATCCTAATAAGTATTAAGATCTTTCACTTTGAGCCCCATGTGGACAAAAGCAGTACTGTTTCTACCACGTTTCATTGATTTCAAGGGGACCCTTGTTTTTCAAAATAAAGCCCCCCAATGGCTTCTTAACAGTACACAAGGGATATTATTTTTTCAGAATAAAATTCCCAGAAAGTAAATGTATCTTCAGTGGAAACTGGATGATAAGGCTGTTCTTTCAAAATAAAAGCCCCAATAGAACAGAACAGTAACTGTGGCTTTACAACAACAACTGTAATCTGATTGATTGATTTTAAAAAACAGCCTCATCCTCAAAGCCCAGTTAATAACTTTCTGGGGATTTTATTTTGAAAAAAATATATGTATCCCTTGCATCCTGTAAAGAAGTATAATTACAGTTTTTCTTTTAAAAAATTGTAATTTAGTTTGTGGTAATTATTAAACTCATATTATATGTTATTAAATTATCTTTATTTCTCTCACAGATAGCCAAGAAATTCACAGAGGACAGTTTTGCCGACTACGTGCGGGGGAAGATCAGCAGCGACCGGACTCACGATCCGCAGTATTACAACATCACGCCGTACGTGGACGGCTTGGGAACCACACATGTGTCCGTGCTGACTGGGGACGGGTCGGCCGTGTCCGTCACCAGCACCATCAACCACATGTCAGTCAAACACTGTGTGAATGGATTAATGAGAGACTGTGGAACAAGGGTTAAAATACTCCAGTTAGTGTATAATGTTTATATATTTATTCACAGATTTGGCTCAAAGATCTTCTCTCCGAACACCGGAGTCATCCTCAACAACGAGCTGGCTGACTTCTGCAGAAGAGGCGATAGAATCTCTGCTGGTAATTAATATGAGTAAAAACAGTCAAATATATATTGATGATCAATCAGGAAGGATCGCTGATCTGATAAAGGGTTAAATATATTTAAATTACCATAAAATTCATGTTCTTCTCAAGATAAAGTGTAAAGGGACAGTTCACCTCAAAAGTACATATTTCTCCTCTTGTAGCGTTATTTGGTTTACTGGATGCAATCCATTGTTATAACTGGTTAAATCAAGCTCAATATTAGCTGTAAGACAAAGATATATCCCGTAAAACTTCTAATAATAGCCCGGGCATTTATTTGCTTAAATCACTGAACTCCCCCTGCCTTTATTGGGGACAGGCCTCTATTTGGGACATGCCTTTAATTCCTGAAGCACAAAACTAAACTCTAACTTCTGCTTCTCTTGAGTTTTGTTCAGCAAATTTGACAACTAACATGATGATTATGATGCTTCAGAGGTTTTTTTCCGTCTCTCTTGTTTACCGTGTTACCGATAAGTCAGAATGAATTAACGTTATACTTTGTTGTCGATAGTTTTTGTAAAATATATTGAAAGATTGAATTGTGGAGAATCTATAACTGATCTAATGATGTTCATTATGTTCATATTGACAGAAGTTTAAACATTTATATTTGTGTAGGAGATCAAAACGACTTAAAACTCCCTCAAGCAGGCGACCCGGTGGGTTTAAAGAGGTTTTATACATCGAGATAATTTCTATAAAATCCAGACCAGGCCTCTATTGGAGACCTGCGTTTATTTGTCAAAACGTGTATCCACACCAGGCTTTTAAAAGAGACCTGCGTCTTTTAGGGACCCTGCTTTTATTGGAAGTTTTACGGTATTCTTGTTCTAATAGAAAATAACACTTGATAACTAACAAGCTAATCTACATCAATAATTAGCAAGCTAATCGGCTAGTTAGTTAGCATTTTTCTACAGCGTAAACCACTAGCTAACTAGTGAGGTAATCTATAGCAATCATTAACATGCAACCTACATCTGAAAGCTAATCCATCAGCCAGTCAATATGAGCTGTAATATCTTATTAAGACAAAGTTAGATAGATTTTCTTGAAACCAGATTACTTTTCCAATGCAAAAAAGACAAAAATTTGACTCAGAAACAAACATTTATTACAGTTTAACATTAACTATCAGCTCTTGAACGAAGGTAAAACCTCGTGTCAGGGTTGAATTAACACCTCCAGCGTCTGATGTGATTCCCCATCATTCAAAGCGTCTCCGCTGAATATATTTATAATAACTGTCTCTCTCAGCGTCCCATCAGTCACTGATGTTGTGTTGTTGTCTTTAGGGGAGCAGCCTCCCTCCTCCATGGCCCCCACTGTGCTGAAGTCTCAGTCCAAGACGCTGGTGATCGGAGCGTCTGGCGGCGGCAGGATCACGACCGGGATGGCCTCCGTACGTATCCGCCGCACACTAAGTGCCAATAGGATTAAATTGCTGCAGACTAAAGCGCCCAGTATACTCGACGCACTCGAGCTGTCGCACGACAAAGTGACGTCAAAATGACGTAGATCTCGCTGGACACATGCTGGAAAATTTGGAAGAACCTCCGCGACCGATTTGGAAAGAAAAAAAAGAACTTCTTCTAGTGCGTAGAAATAGCAAAGTCGGTAGCCTTTCCTCACTAGCGACACCTCTGTTCAGGAGAAGACTGCAACTAGTGGCGCGCAAGTATAGATAGTCATGGTGCTCCTGTGACGTCACGTTGTCGCACGACAGTTGGTCTGCGTCGAGTATACCGGGCGCTTAACAGCCGTTGCTTTCTCTTCCAGGCGCTCATGAACCACCTCTGGTTTGGAAAGAGCCTGAAGGAGGCGATCGCCGCCCCCGTTCTTTATGTCCACGCTGATAATAAAGTGGAGTTTGAAGCAGATTTTGATCAGGTAACAAAAAACAAACATTTATTTGCTGAAACTACATCATATTTGTTCAATCTGAGTCTCCTCGTCTCTTCTTTTGGCCTCCCAGGATGTAATCCAGGGTCTGAAAGCTCTGGGACACGAAGATAAACCTGCAGGAAAATTCTACAGCGTGGTCAACGCCGTGGAGATGGACGGCAGCTGCATCAGCGCCGTGTCCGATGCCAGGAAAAAGGGCGAAGCCGCCGGTCACTGAGACCCAGGAGCCAGCGGTTGGCGCTGGATAACCGGCCTGAACTGTAACAGTGACTCTCTGTTCAGTGTGTTTGTACATAGTTTGAGCTTTAATTCTTCCGACTGTTGTTGTTTTATTAACGTCTTTCTACTGTAAAGCTAAAAATGTCCAGTCGTTGGTTTTTTTACGTGATAGAAGTGCCTTTGTGTTAATATCTGAGACGTAGAATACTCAGGGTTACGTATAATCAGATTTTAAAGACGGTTAAAAGATAAAAGCAACGTACTTTATATAGTCAAAGTTAGCTAATGTTAGCAGAACGATAGCTAATGTTAGCTAATTCTAGACACGTGTTGCACTTTGTGTCGGACCTGGCGAGACGTCCATTCCTCACTACTTCACACACTTTAAGCTGTTTTTGTAAAGTTAGTTTAAACTGTAAAAAAACTGTAAACTCTGAATATGCTAAATTAATTTTGTTCACATTGAAAATGTTTAAAGACAAATATTTGTGGAACTCAAATGTTTGTGGTTGCATCCGTTATTTTGATATTAGAAATCCGTCGCTGATTAAAAGAATTGTACTAACTGATTACATTAAGTACCCAACCATTTACACTCACTGTATGTGCTATGTTAGCATTGTTTATTTAATACACAGTCAATTAAACATCAACTGTATTTGTAATATTTAAATAAAATATGTTTTCTTTTGTTTCATGTTAATGAAACTCGGGTAAAACACATTAAAAAACATCCTAAAAGCTCCTCAGGAAGAAATGTGTCAATTCCCAAATTAGCTAAAACCATTTTTTAAATATCATAAAAACACGTTCTTCTGCCATTCTTATATTGTATTTTAGTTTATTTTGTAGCCTTAATTTTACATAAAATCTTGTGTATTCTATTTGGCATTTTAATGTTAAATTAAAGATATTTACACTGTAAAAACATTAAATTACCTATAAATACAGAAAAACACTGCTATAATACAAATAATCACGCTTAAATTTACAGCAGAGTGCTGTTTTTATTTTATCTTCATTTTAATCTGAATTTTAAAAGTTAAAGAACTGCAATAAAAGTCATTATATGGGAAAATTACAGTAATTATTTCTGTTTTCAGTGTTAAAAACTGTATTTTGACAGTTTACCAATGCTTATTCACTGATAAACAACATTTATTCAATGTTTTCGTTGTGAAAACTTCCATAATTATACAAGATATGTCAATTAACTAACAAATCCATGTAAAATTACAAAACAAATACTTATTTTACTGTTTATTCTCACTAATTTTACACAATTTTAGAAATGAATTAACAGTATGCAACTTGAATTTAACAGTTTCTTTAAATAAGCTCTTTATGATTATTTCAGTTACAGATGATTCAGGTTATTTTACATTAGACATCACAGGATATTTCTATAATTTTATTAATATTTCCATGTACGTACTTAGAGTAGTAAACTTTTACAGTGTAGAAAGGTGCTTTAAATGTACAAAAATACACAAATACAACAATTTAAAATGACATATAAATAAATAAATCATGTTTACAGTCTATAACAAACGATCAATAACGGCGGGTTCTTTTTGTGGATGCACCAGAGCGACCCTCAGCCGGCCGGTCGATGCCTCCAACCTCAGGTCACCGCTATCGACGTCTGCCCCGTGAATCCGTCCCTCTGTGCCGAAATGTGCTCTGAACAATCTGCGTGACTCCTCTCTGCTGCTTTTCATAAATAATTTTTCATTTTTGTGCCGCAGCAGCTGAGGCAAGATAATCAGATCAAACAGTGACTCATGCGAACAGGAGGACGGCTTCCTGAGAGAGAGTGTGTGCGGGAATATGAAGCACTTCAATTCACACAATAAATGCTCAAAGAATGATGGATTTAGTTTTATTTCACTCAACAATCCAGCGGAATAAATCACTCCTGAAGGGAAAAGGTCAGATAATAAGATCCTGGTGCTTTCTGGGGTGGCGCTCTGTTGCCCTGTCACATGGTATTTGGACCTCGGGGGGTGTGACAGTCACACTGTGCCCTGACCTTATAGGAGCCACCTGTTGCAAATGCCACATTACCATGTCTGGCAGGAGGAACAAAAAGTTGCCAGGAGAGGATCATGGGTAATGGCCTCATGTGACGACCACCCGGCCTTTACAAACGGCAAACGGCGGCGGCTCAGAAACCAGAACAGCACTCAATCCCAAACAGCCCGAGCTGAGTGCTTCTGTCGCCCCCGATTTCAGACTAATCTGCATAAATAAATCTGTTGCAGTTCATGTTAGATGAGACATCTACATTTTGAGGATGGTTAAAAGATAAAAGACATATATACCGTAAAACTTATAATAATAGCCCGGGCCTTTATTTGGGACAGGCGTCTATTTGGGACAGGCCTTTAATTCCTTTAGCACAAAACTAAACTAAACTCTAACTGCTGCTTCTCTTGAGTTTGTTCAGCAAATTTGACAACTAACATGATGATTATGATGCTTCAGAGGTTTTTTTCCGTCTCTCTTGTTTACCGTGTAAATTCAGAATTCAGAATGAATTAACGTTATAGTTTAGTGTTGATGTTACGAGTTATCGTAACATATAGTGAAAGATTGAATTGTGGAGAATCTATAACTGATCTAATGATGTTCATTATGTACATTTTGACAGAAGTTTAAACATTTATATTTGTGTAGGAGATCAAAACGACTTAAAACTCGCTCAAGCAGGCGACCCGGTGGGTTTTAAGAGGTTTTATACATCGAGATAATTTCTATAAAACCCAGACCAGGCCTCTATTGGAGACCTGCGTTTATTTGTCAAAACGTGTATCCACACCAGGCTTTTAAAAGAGACCTGCGTCTATTAGGGACCCTGCTTTTATTTGAAGTTTTACCGTAGTCACATCTTAAGTTAGCTGGCTAGTTAGCCACCAATATGCTAGGCTCATCTATGTTGAAAAGAGCAACCGCAGTTTGAAGATGGTTAAAAGATAAAACATATAAATGTGTATATATAGTCACATCTTAAGTTAGCTGATGTTAGCGAGATGTTGCAATGCACTCTTTTAAATCTGGAGACCTTCAAAATAAAACAAATCCCAACATCAGTTTGGTTCTTTTATTGGCAGTCAGTGTTTGGCATGAGACGAGTACACACAGGCTACGAGGAAAGACGTTGACACACGAAACATAAACCAGGTGGACAGTGTTCTCCGTCGCTTAGATTAAAACAGTTGCTACAGTGTGATTTACATTTACTGGACTACTTCCTGTTTTATTGTGTAATCCCATTGGCCACGTCCCATTTTGTTCACAGCAGGAGGTCACTGAGCTCAGTGTCATAGAGTCATTATTATAATTACAGAGTTGGACAGAAGACAAAACACCAAAACAATAACACAAATAATTACAGCAGCAATCAGACGTTTTACTGTTACAAACACACAGAACACACACTTAAACATTTATTATATATCAGGTGATGCTGCAGCTAACGATTACCGTCGTCATTGATTAATCTGCTGATCATTTTCTCAATTCATGGATTAGTTGTTTGGTCCAGAAAACAGTGAAAGACGTCATCACATATCTTGTTTTGTTCCACGAAGACGTATAAAAGCCCATTACCACCAATGTGATGTAAATAAGATTCTGTAAGTCATTATTTGAGATATTAAGTCAATATTCTGAGAAATTAAGTCATTATTTTGAGATATTAAGTCCATATTTTGAGATATTAATTCATTGTTTTGAGATATTAAGTCAGTATTTGACATACTAAGTCATTTTTATATATTAAGTCAATATTTTGAAGGTGTCTCATTATTTTAAGATACTAAGTCGTTATTTTCCTACCGTCACATTGGCAGTAAAGGGCTTCCATACTCTCAAAGATGACTGAAATAAAGCAGAAAATATCCACATTTGAGAATCAAGAGAAATTGTGCATTTTTTCTGAAAACAAATGACTCAAAACAATCAGCAATTAATTGAACAGTTGACAATTAAATCGAATAACAGACTAATCGTTGCAGCTCTAGATGTTGTTAATGATCACGAGGCATTTGGTCGTCATTGTACCGTAAATATCTCCAGTAATAAAGAACGCACACGGAGCTTACGCTATGGAGGAACTGAAACATGTTTTTAAAAAATGGTCCCTCTAAAGTGCACTGCAGTGTTTCGGTCAGCTTAATCATTATGTGCTACTGTTAGACGGACTATAACCAATAGATAACAGTCACAGCTGTGTCTCATAACAAACACAGGGGCCATCGATAAAACGGAAAAAAGGACAACAGAAACGGCAGTTAGGACGGGCAGTTTGGACGCTGCTCAGACTCAGTTGTAGTGTCATAAATACACTGAAACACTACAACGGCTCAATAATTACAAAGACCAGCATTTAGTACAGGTACAAAAAACAATCAGTGACAGCTACCCATTGTTGAGTCCTACCTGTTGTCTTCTAAGATTGCTTTTGTTCACCAAAAAGTGCACAAAAATAGCCACAACAGAGCCATGTTTTGTGTCCTCATTTACATCTACAACAAGGGCTGCGTGGGCATTCACAAGTGGACATTTTGGAAAGGGGGGGAACACGCAAAAAGTCTTGACCTAGCAGTTTTGCCGGCGTCACGTGACGGGTCGTCGGCTGTATAGTCTGTTGAACTTGTGTCATAGCTTTTGTTGAGAGATTAACAGAGAACACACAATGTGGAGCTAGGCCCTGCCTGCCAGAGAGAGTCCCGGTAGAGAACCCAGAGGAGGACCCCCTCTGTTTCCAAAAAACCTCAGCTACCGCCGGGATGCTGCTCTTCCATCCGACCAACTGATCTGAATCTCCTTGGGATTTGGCCTCTTCAGCTGCCGCCATCAGAGAGAGAGAGAGAGAGAGAGAGAGAGAGAGCGCATCGGTTCATTAACTCTTCCAGCCCCCCTCCAATGAAACCGCACCTCGTTCCCAAGAGCGCCATCCACCAACACAGTAAGTCGCTTCGCTGTCATCTTGTGTGGGTTAACTCAGAGATGGTTTAGGGTTAGCTTGGTAGCTGTGTTCCGGGGGGGACGACAAGTTTTCGTTCCCCTTCGAAGGGTGACTGGGCTCGTGGTGTGAAAGGGCGAAGGAAGTAACAGAGTGCCGTGGGACGACATTTTCAACCACAGTTGAAAGAAAGCGTGAGAGAGGAAACGCCTCCATCACCTCTCGCAGTAGTGCAGGGTGAAGTCTTTGGAGAGCTGCTTCTCCCCCAGCGTCCACGGCTCCAGCTCAAATTTGTTACCCATGTCATCCTCGTCCTCTTCGTCCTCGTCCTCTTCCTCCTCCTCGTAGTGGCTGGGCTCCTCGATGGAGGTCTCCAGGTGGTAGCAGTAGGGCTGGCCCTCAGTGTACTCGTAGATAGTCGGTAAGCTGCTCTTCAGGGAGCAGCGGCGGCGCAGCGCGACCAGCAGCGGCTGCGGCATGGTGAAAATATCCACGTTGTTGCCCAGGTCAATCCAGGCCAGGCTGGAGAACATCTTGGGGTCTTTGAGCATCTCGGTGAGGTCTTTGAGGATAGACAGCGTGAGGCGGTTGCCGTTGAGAGCCAGGGTGCTGAGCTTGGGCAGCGAGGCGAGGAGAGGCAGGAGGATCCGCAGGTTCTCATCCTGGAGCTCCGTGAAGCTGATGTCCACGGCCACCACGCTGTCTCTGTTATTCTGGAGGTAGAAGGCGACTTGGCGGACGTCGCGGGCAGACAGAGGGATGCCGGACAGGTCGACAGAGTCGCTGGAGAGCTTCTTCTGCAAGGTTGTCTTGAGGCTGTTGGGGGGGAAACGAAGAGTTGGATTATTTAAAGCACACAGAGCAGGTTTTAGCTGCAGGGTCGCTGAATGACTCGGGAGCAAGGCCCTGATTTTATGTTGTGTTTCCTGTGTTGTATAAAGGAGGGGGTGGCTGGGCCGGCGTGGAGCGGAAGGCTGACACAGAGACTCCAGCATGGGGATTTACTCGTGTAAACAGAGGAGCCAAAACATCCGAACGAGCCAGCAGCTTAAAGCTCTGACAGCCGGGGAGCACAGAGCTCCTTACAGCAGAGCCACAGCCGTTCACTGCTTAAAAGATGCTTTAGAAAAAGATATAAAACTTGAATACTTTGGAAGTTATATTTATAGGACATGAAAGGAAAGAGATGAATCTTTTGGAAACACTCTGATGTAATTATCTCCAGCAGAAGAGTCTGTTCTTATGTTTTCATGTTGCTTTTTAAGTCAGCGAAACGACGGGTAAAATTTAGAAAAAAAAGTTGAGCAAATTATTTGTTTTTATGGATCTGATGAAGGAATTATTGGCATTTTTTAACATTTGTATTATTTTTCTCACAAACTGCTTCACTGAAATTATCCCTCAGACATATGCATCATGAATCTGTTTCAACATCAATAAATGATCAATTCACTATGACTAAGTGATTAGTTAATGGAGGATTTAATATTGTTAAATTACTGTTACTTCGTACATTAATTGATCACCTGTACCAAAGGTTCCCAACCTTTTTCTATTAGTGAGTAAGCTGATCATATTTTGGGTTTATTTTATATTTTATTCAATAATAATAATAATAATAGTAGAGAACAGCTGATTAACTGAATAATGAACACAAACAGTGGATAACTGCAGGAAGTTTGTGTAAAACCAGAGATTTGATGAATTTTGATCCGATTATTTCCTGTGAATATTGATTAGTTTCCTTGATATTTTTAGGAACTTTACATACCGCAAACCTTCTAATAATAGCCCGGGCGTTTATTTGCTTAAATCACCGAACTCCCCCTGCCTTTATTGAGGACAGGCCTCTATTTGGGACAGGCCTTTAATTTCCTTTAGTACAAAACTAAACTAAACTCTAACTTCTGCTTCTCTTGTTTAGTTTTGTTCAGCAAATTTGACAACATGATGATTATGATGCTTCAGAGGTTTTTTTCCATCTCTCTTGTTTACCGTGTTACTAAGACAGAATGAATTAACGTTATACTTGTATTTGTATTGGGTGTTGATAGTTTTCGTAAAATATAGTGAAAGATTGAATTGTGGAGAATCTATAACTGATCTAATGATGTTCATTATGTACAAATTGACAGAAGTTTAAACATTTATATTTGTGTAGGAGATTGAAACGACTTAAAACTCTCTCAAGCAGGCGACCCGGTGGGTTTTAAGAGGTTTTATACATCGAGATAATTTCTATAAAATCCAGACACCTGGAGGCAGGTGACGTAACCAACCAACCCTCTGCTGACTTCGGGCTGCTACCTAGCCGTTAGCCAGACACCGGAGAGTAAGCCTCTCTGAGCCGCTAGCTTAGCTAACGTTACAACACAGGTAGCACACAGAAACAGCATGAATGTGCTTCTAGTGACTGTAAAAGCTCCAGCGGACTCTCTGTGCTTCCAGCGTGGACACGGAGAGTCTGAAAGCAGCTGCTCATGTAATAAAGAGATAATAAGACTCATTTTCATTCTAACATTATGAGGTCAGAGGTCATGACAGTTTTATAATAATATAATAAGTAATTAAGGGTGCACCAAAACACATGTAGAAGGTTCCAGTTAAACAATCAGAGGAGAGCAGACGGATAAGAGAAAGAGAACTGGGTATTAGGGTTGTTCTCGAATGCTAAGACACACTTAATGAATCCACTTTATCTTCATCATCATCACCTTGTTAGCACAGCAGAAGTCTCTGTCTCACAAGTGTGTTCACACTCTCATTTGTTTCACACATTTTTCAAAAACCGTTAACACAGAACTCAGAAAAACACCAAAACTGTTGGAGAAACTAAAGGAAAACAACTCTTCAATCAGCAATCAGTCCTTTTCCGTCTGTAAAAGATCTGCTGATATTTACAGGCCAGTACAGAACAACAATGTTTGTTCCTGAGTATTTCTGAGTGAATAATATATAATGCAGTAACTAAAACTGTAATGAATGAATGTTGAATTTATCTCGTCTAGATCTTGTAGGTTTTACATGTCAACGACAGTTCATGTGCACAGAAAGAGCTGCAGGCAATAAGATCAATGAAGCATTTCAACAGTCAGAAGTGTAAAAGGTGGCGAGTGCAGCAGGGTTTGTTGTCCCAGAGTGGAAATTTATCTCTGACATATCGTTATAATCTGTTGGTTCACAAAAAGAATGACTGAATCTTCGTCGAGTCAAGTACACAGAAGTTACGACAACTTTGTTTAATGGCGAAACGTCAAAATTCGGTGCCACGCCGTTTAACGCACAACAACAAATAGCACAAATCTTACTTGTGATGGTCTTTAGATTGCACCGACCAAATATGAAGTCAACTCGATCGATTCCCTGTGAAGAGTTCGTCAAAATACAACGTGTGCAAATCACCGAACATTATTCACAAAATTCTAAATGGCCGACTTCCTGTTGGGTTTGGGGCATGGGTCCAAGAGGCTTTTATGTTTGTCTGGTCATGATACACATGCGTACTGATTTTCATACATATTGCTCAAACGTGTCTTCGGGGCTGTGGTCAAATGTGCAAGACGTGTTGCGATTTATTGGGGAATAAAACAACGAGCTGTTTAAATGAAAAAAAGAGACGAAGAAGAAGAATTAAAATGCTTTAAAAATGTGTATTTATTGTACATTTGCTTTAAGATTCAGAGTTAAAGTTCAGCATCTTGACAGCAGCGACAAATGGCCACCTGATAATTAGTTGTAATTTGTATTCACAAATAATGCTGGTAATTAACAGAAACTGTGGGAGTGTGGAGGTCGGATGGAGGAAATATAAGTAAAGTGAGAAACAAAGGACTAAAATCTGAACTATCAGACCTCCATCCTCAAATAAAAACACAGGACTGAGGCCTGAACGCCGATCATCAGGCTGCTTTGTCTGCGAGAGAAAGAGTCTCTTATATAAGAGGGCAGAGCTAGAGACCAATCAACATCAACAAAGATCACCTGAGAGTGACCGGAGGTACAACACAAGGATCCTAACGACCTTCAATGAAGGTCGAACGGTTCATACTGATCGCTGTGCGTCTGATTGTGATTGAAGGAAAATATTACGCACAAGTTGTGTTGTTTGATGGAAAGTCAGGAATCGTTGTCAACATCACTAAATATTGTTTCTGTTGATCAGCAACCGTCTGTTAGATAAAAACAGCCTCATATTTCCATAAGAAAAACCCCAAAATAGGACAAAGCATAATAATGTAATAGTAAAACAAACTCTTTTATTAGTAATATTAAGTTATTTTGTTTTCACATTTTGAATAAAAATGACAAAAATAATGTTGAATATAATCAGTTTGAACAATTTCACTGAGTTAAATAAACGTTTCAGGTGATTTATAGAGTGGATGTTACTGAAGGAAGCTTTATCTAACGTGTGATTTAGGTTTTTTTTCGGTGCCTCTTTTGCACTCGCGGCCTTTTGAAAGCAGGATATTTGAGGAGAAGTGAGACTTTCCCATAGCATTAGCCATTAGCTTTACATTGTGTCTGAAGATACGTGTCCATTATTTACACACTCCCTCTGCCCTTTTGTTTCCAGTCAGTCCCGTTTACCGGTGGCCCGTCCTTCCCCCTGCGGATGTGGTGTGTTTTACTCGAGCTGTTACTGAAGTGGCCTGTAACGCTGATTCTGTGTCAGAGTGAATTATAGCATCCTCCGGCGCCCGCTGACTTACTGTGGCATCCACTGCAGTACCTGTCAGCTGTGATGCTTTTAAGTGAGGTTTTTTTTATTTTTGGGGTCACGTTGAAAATGGATGTTCCCCCCGAGCGGCGCTTCATTTCTGAAGAGAGCGTTTGTATTGATTGCTAAAAAAAACCCACTCATGAAGGCTGTTCAATCAGCACCAAATCTGTGAGATACAGACATCTGTCGAGGCTGATGTATCTTTATCAAATACTTGTGAGGCGCCGTCCTCCTCCTCGCCATTGTCTGCCCTTTATATGACAGAAACCTCATCTCCTCCACGGGCACAAAAGTCCTAATGGCGGCCTGGCAGAGGCTCCCTGCAGGTGTGAATAGATTTTGATCACACGACTCCCTCTTTGTTCGTCTTTTTCAGACATCAGGAGGCACGAAAAATGGGTGTCTGAATGGTTCCTCCTTTCATTTCATCCCTCCACCGGATTAATCCGATACGGGAAAAACAAACGTGTCGCCGACGACTTCTGGCGGACAAAAAAAGGCTTAAACGAGAAAAACAGTCTGTAGGTTGGAGATTAAAAGAGATTAAGAAAGTAATAATCCTGAAGGTGATGAAGGAAGTTATTATTTTATTCACAAATTAATCACATTTTTGGCGCTCGCAATACGCTCGAAAACTCGTGAAACACGGCACAACATTTGGGCGGTATGTATTCTACGGGTCTTACATATGGGCGGGGCAAAAAGGTTTAACCACGCCCCCTAAAACACAACCATCAAGACACGTTTGAATTAATTTTTGGTGATTTGCACACGTTGTATTTTAACAAACTCCTCGTAGAGAATTTATCAGATCGACTTCAGATTTGGTCGGTATGATCTAAAGACCATCAGTGATTAAACGTTGTTCTGTTTGTAAATAAATATGTTAAATATTCAGTCATACTCATAGCGCCACTGTACGATTACTGTACAAACACAACTTTATCAGTGATTTGGGTGAAACTGGATCATATTTTATACAGGATATTGTCTGGTTTTCTCTCAGACTTGTTGCTAAAAGAAGCTAACTGTCGCTGACAGTAATGTCAGTTAGTTAGCTGACTTCGGGGTGTCAGGAGCCAAAACCGGCAATAAAACCACCTCAGTACTTTATTCCCTGCAGTCAAACTGTCCTCCGTCAGCATCAGATGCTGCATTCAGTCCCGGTCTGGACCTGCTGTTCACTGGGAGCTGCCAGTCCACCAGAGTCCACTAATGGATCCACTAGAGCTGGACTGGGGGGACGTAGCACACAGCGCTATCGGCTACTGCAATGATCCCTCAATAACGGCCTGTTTTTACAGGAAATACATAAATACGAGGAAGCAAACAGCTCTTCGATTAATGTTTCAGGTGGACTTTAAGGAATCTGAGTCATTTCAAGATTATAAAGTCTTCACAGTCGATCAGTGATCAATCAAAACAACCGACCTCATGTCATAAAAGTTAAAATATTAATATATATATATAAATATATAAAACCAACTCAAGGTCCCTAGAAAATGATCCCTAACTGCTGAATTGAAGCCAGAAATGAAACCTTACTGTTTCAGTATCAGTGTCTGCTCACCGATCATGATGCACATTCAAGTAAATTAATAAATAACCACTAATACACAATTAAGCAATCAATTAAATTTAGACTGCATAATGAAGCCGACCAGCCCCACTAAGAGGAAGCAGAGTGTCTCCACGTGTGTCTCATCAGTCTCCTGGAGGCCATTGATTTAACACAACGAGGCAGCATTCGAATTCAAATCACTCTTACGATTTATTAACATAAATATTCACACTCGCAGGGGTTTGGATGCTAATTCAGACGATTTAAAGAAACAGTTAAAATGCACGTGTTAACAAAGTAGGTGGATAATCGCAGCTGTCATATAAAATCCAATGTTTTTAGTTCAACTTTAAATTTCCAGGCGTTGATCTGCTCCTCGCTGTCCTCCCCGCCGGCTGTTACCGCTCACACCGGTGTGGGTTTTTCTGCAGAGTCATTTACAGTAAAGCTCTTTATTCATTTCAAACCCTCTGATGGCTGAAGCCAAACGACACACGGAGAGAGAGAGAGAGAGAGAGAGAGAGAGAGACCCGAACGAGACGACAGTCTAATCACATCCGCTCCCTGACATTTCACTTATATATAATATATACGTAACACATCGCATTGTCCTTCATGGCGCAGGGACTCCACAGATATCAATAAAGACGCTTCCTGCATACAAATATCATCTCCCTATATCTTTTTATTCGGTGGATGTTTGGGTCCTTTCTGTGAGAGCTGTGTCTTATTCCAGTGGCGTTTATTGTCTATTGTTCGGTACCTTGACCTTGACTTTGGTACCATTTTTAAGGAATTTTTGTGTTTAAAGCTGCAGTAGGTGACTTTCATGAAAATAACTTCTTGTCACATTTGCTGTAACTTTCACTACATCCTGACAGTAGAACATGAGACACACAATGTGTGAAAAAATCAGGTTCCTCTGGCTCGTTCTAGTGCTCCTAATGACGTATGCAAGAATCCACCGGACCCGAATGAAAACAACCAATCAGACCTGAGAAAGATGGTTGACAGGTGACTCTCATTTCCACTCAACAATCAGCTTGCTAGCCCATAGCATCTGTCCATCTTTCTTGGCTCTGATTGGTTGTTGTGGTTTGAGCCCAGTTGATTCGGTGGATATAGCCAATGGCACCGATTTTATTTTACAGAATCACTCGCAATCTATATTTACGCCCCTGTTTTATTCTGTATTTTGTTGGACTGATGCAATTAGTAACAATGACTGTTGAGTCTCTGAGGAAGCTTTAAAGGACCAGTGTGTTTGATTTAGTGGCAGCTAGCGGGTTTGTAGATTGCAACTCACTCGCTTCACCCTCTCCTATCCAAGCGCGAAACACGAACAGCTTTCTGGAGCCAGTGTTTGGTTTGTCCGTTCTGGGTAACTGTAGAAACATGCCGGACTCCACCACTGTTAACTGTCTCATTCTAAGGTAACAAAAACACTAATAAATAAACTTTTCTTATTATATTTCTTATATTTTCTTATATTCTGGTGATTATATACTAATGAAAACATACCTATGGATATAATATCACATTTCTGACAATAGAGCCTCCTAAATGTTACATACTGGACCTTTAATGTACGTTTTGATGTTTAACTGACCTTTTTACGATGTGACGAAGATCAGTAATGTGGAGACTAAAAGGTAGTTTTGGTTGCGTTCAGGTGACGAAGGAACGCGGTAATTATGAGGTCAGATGACGGAACAAGAAGTTATCGGTGTGAAAACTGACGAGCTTGATTAAATTATCCTGAAGGTGGCGGCGGTGGCGGCGGCGGCAGCGTTTCTGGGTCACTGTTTCCATCAAGCTTATTACCAAAAAAACAACAACATTTCTAACAAAACCCAAATAAACTAGTTAGATAGATTAACGGGATTAATGAGATTCAGACATTAATTCAGTGCGGCATTCCAGTCAGAAGTGCGTGTACAGTATTTGTGCAGCGCTAATGCTGGATAATGAAGGGATGAACGATCCGGGGGCATTAAACTGGACTGAGCTGTTTCCTCACAGAGGTGAGATTGTTGTATTGTTGCACAGATGAGGGCAGTTTGCCTGCAGCTGAACAAAGATGGAAGTTAAAGGGAGGAAAAATACACCTTAAAATTACATTTGTACCATGATTTTATTGTTAATGTGGACGGTTAAATCTTCACTGGATAAGGGGGAAACAGCTGGGGTGAATCCAAACTGCAAAGAATCGGGAAATTTTACTTTCATTGTAGTTGTGTAACTGTATCTCAATCTGTATGTGCAACAGTGGTGGAGTTCGCCATTTTGAACCGCCATGACTTTACAGTAGGGTGTTTCACAGCCACCGTAGTTTCTCCCGCGTGCTTGGAAAAGGGAAGGTGAAGCGAATGAGTTGCAACCTCACCACTAGCTGCCAATAAATCCTACACATAAAGAATATTGTCCCTCAATAACTCTTATTTCCCAACCTGTCAGGAAGAGCGATACAATACTGACAACCCGAATTGAGCTGCTCTCTTTAGTAACAATAACTCTGCACCCAGTCTGGGAATATTTCTGTCAGAATTTAAATTATTACACAGCTGCTTTTATAAGAAAAGAAAAAAAACTCCAGACATTTGAGTTTGTGAGGTGAATTTTCCAGCCTGGCCTCTGTCTCATCTCTCTCCAGCTTTTCGACAGGCATTTGTTCGTGAACACGACGACAGGCGAAGCTGTCAGAGCGCACAGCGACTGTATTAATATTCTGTTTTAGGGTGGCTTTTAATGATTCATGTTGCTCCTGCTGTCTCAGCCGGTGTCAGACCAGTCTCTCTCTTTCTCTCTCTCTCTCTCTCTCTCTCGGCAGGTTTATGAAGCCAAAAACATGACTAAGTTAGAAAGAAAACCCAAAACCAGGCCCTTCAGCTCGGAGTTTAGCAATCGTATGTATCTGCACATTTCCAGAGAGGCTGTCAGAGTCGGTTAAATCCTTTTCTGGGCTGAATTAAACGTCCAGGAAGCACAACAAAGCCCTGCTCCTGCAGCTCGATGCCAGATTCCCCGTGAACACGTCTTCGCTCTCCCTCTGATTCTGAGTGTTGATACCTCCGACTGACTCACAATGAACCCGTCTCATCTCGCCGTCCCCGCATTGTCTCCCTCTCAATCCCGAGATTATTTTCATCCACGTAATGCTTTATATGCGCGGTGGAATAAGCAATTACAGGAGAAAGACCTATGATATATGCCTGTTTGTGTTCATGAATAGGATTACCAACCAACACCTACTGACACACACACACACAAATAAAAAACCCTATTTGTACACAAGCTAATTCTCTATTCATCATTTGCACATCAAAAGCAATTCACTCTTTCATCGAGACGAGTGTAATTACATTTGAACGCAACCCTCCCAGCTTTTCTTCGACAAACAGATGGACAAATTTGTAGCTGTGCCACTTTGGAAGAGAGAGAGAGAGAGAGAGAGAGAGGAAGAGGAGGCCGGTGGCACAACCACTGCGCTGCACTTAAAAAGGACGATGATTGACAGCTGTGGTAACCGCGGCGTTCCCGTCAGGTCAGCCCGTGGCGAGCGCTGTCCTACTTCAATGTCAGCCACAAAGATTGGAAAATCTCTACAGCTCGATGTGGAGCCGAGCTGCAGATTTATTAGGGGACCGGGTGTCTGGACAGGAGGGCTTACCAGGCCTGGGATTTCCGTCTGGACATGCTCTGCCTCAGCCACTTCGAGTGCGGGGTCAGGTGGTAGATCAGCTGTCGGCAGATCTTATCAGACGACTTTATGGTGTCTGCGTCCTGCAGGAGAAAGCACAAACAGTTCAGAATAGAGTTTTAATCGGGACCAAAACATCAGACCCGAACCGACCTGAACCTTAACATTCTGTATGAGTCTGAACATCGGAAGCAATCCGGATTTACGCTTGATGTAAACTACTATATTATATATTTAATATAATGCAAATTATTATCAAAACTAACAACAAATAACTCTTTAATTACAGTTGCATAAGTTATTAATAAAATATGAAATATATATATATTTATATAAGAAGTTTGGGTCAGAACCTGAATTTCTGCCTAAAATAAATAAATTTGATAGTTTATAACTACTTATTAGTCAAATTTAAACTTTAATTACTTAATTAGTTGCATATATTATTAATAAAATACTAAATAAACATATTTTTAAATCTAATTCTGTCCTGAGTCCAAACCCGAATTTCTGCTTAACATAAATAAATAGTTATTACAAGCTAATGTAAACTACATTGTGTAAATAACGTGCAAATTATTATTAAAACTTATAATGAATTCACTTATTAATCACAGTTGCATGAATTAGTATAAATAATAAAATATTAAATATATATATGTTTTTTAATCTAATTCTGTCCGACAGTATTGTGCAAATTATTATCAAAACTAATAATAAATTCACTCTTTAGTTACAGTTGCATGCATAAAATATTAAGTATGATTATATGTAAATGCAATTCAGTCTGAGCCCGACCTACAGCAGCAGTTTTGGGCCAAACCCGGCAGGTACGGTCGGGTCCAGTAGGGTTTCGAGCAGAGAATCAACCCTCTGGTTCAGAATAGAGAAACTCTAAATGAGATTTTCTCTTTGTGCCAGAGAGAGAAAAACATCTTTATTACACTAAGTTTCCTCCATTTTCTAAAAACTTCTCTACCTGCAACATGAACAGAATAAAGAATGGTTTGTTATTATTCGTGACGCCCTGAGCTGCTGATGAACAAAACACAATTTAACTGGAGCGAGAAAATCTAATCACATGCAGTGTTCAACGGTGGGGGAAACACAGGAAGTACACAGGAGAGGCGTCGGTGAACACTGGTCATTTCAGCTCAATAACCATGTTGTGGCTGCTGGTGGTCATTGCCCACATCAAAATAATTCAATATTCACTGCTGGAGGTTGAGGCATACTGAGTTTCTGTAAGTGCACAAAACACAGCGGTCTTTATTTTATATCTTAGAGATCAAGATCTGATTTATATAAAATAAATTTATACATTTTAGTGAACTAACATCTCGGTAATCTAGTCTGTTATCCCACATTAATCAGGCAGAAGATAAATCCACTTATAAAGCCCTCTACAAAGACAAAATGCAGTAACTACATATAAAGTCGAAATTAATTTAAGATCTAAAATCTGACTTGTTGGCATTTATTCTGCTATATAACATGTTTTTTTAAATCATAGAAATATATAATACCAAGGAAAACAGCCTGTTAATGTGCAGTAAAAACAAAACACAGCTAAAAACCAACCCAACAGTCACAGCTAGCATAGACAACACCCCCCTAACTGTTAAATATATTGATCGATCAATCAATTTCAGTGGATGTACATCTTGTTTATTTAGTTGTTTATCCCACAGAAATCACTGGAAACCGGGTATGGGAGGCTAACTAACTAATGAATCTTCGCTCTGTTGTTGAAAAAAGTTGAAGATTTTTTTTCTGTTTGGGTTTCTGATCTGATTATAATCTGAATATTAAAGCAGTGATGATCGGGCCCTCGTAGTCTGCATGTGCTATATGCTTGGGTTATGTGTTTACTTCCTCTTTCCAGCAGGTGGCGCTATGAGTATGACTGAATATTTAACATATTTATTTACAAACAGAACAACGTTTAATCATCTCAAGTCGATCTGATAAAATCCCTACGAGGAGTTTGTTAAAATACAACGTGTGCAAATCACCAAAAATGAATTCAAACGTGTCTTGACGGTTGTGTTTTAGGGGGCGTGGTTAAACCTTTTTGCCCCGCCCATATGTAAGACCCGTAGAATACATACCGCCCAAATGTTGTGCCGTGTTTCACGAGTTTTTCGAGCGTATTGCGAGCGCCAAAAATGTGATTAATTTGTGAATAAAATAATAACTTCCTTCATCACCTTCAGGATTATTTCTTTCTTAATCTCTTTTAATCTCCGACCAACAGACTGTTTTTCTCGTTCTGTGTCGCTAAAAGTTGAAGATTGATTGACGGATGAATGTCTTAAATATTATTGGTTGAAAAACAAACAAAAAATGATTAGATTTTGATATAAAAATAAATTTGTTTTGTCTTGTACGAGCGGGGATGTAATCTTAAAGGCATTTTTCATTTCATCAGGACAAAAAAAGTATAATTTCCTCTTTACAAATCCCTGAATCTGTAAATACTCTAATTTCTAACAGCTATTCCAACGTCTGTCTGCTCATAAGTAACATTTATCTGCAGGATTTCTTTCAACCATCCGCCTGTAGAAGTCGATAACATCCTCAGATTGGGTTTTTATTGATTAACGAAAGGAAACCATGAAGGTAGAAAGTTTCCTTCTGCAGAATACCAACACGATGTTTTGATATTTTTCTGCGAGAGAGAACAAGGTGAGCTGACCTTCTTGGGACACTGCATCTCTCGAGCCAGGCTGAGCAGCAGCTCGTGTGAGATCGGGTCCACCAGGTTGAGGAAGGCAGCGTTTTTGTATAAGATGTCGTTGAGCGAGGTGCCTTCCAAGCCGAGATCCTACCAAAGAGAGAAAGGGAGAGGCATCATAATCACAGCGAGATTAAACTGTAAAAACATCCTGCAGTAATTACAATTAAGTATTTTAGCAGCGTGACTCTGGACCAGAGGGAAAGAAACGCATTAGTGGAGGTCCTGCTGTGTCAAGGGCAATGTGACTCGAGATGGAGGGATAAAAGAAGTGTTTAGTTTTAAATATTCATTACAGGAGCTTTTTTCATCTACAGTAGGAGAGTCTGTGGGGAGGGGGGGGGTCACAGGGAACGCTGTGTTTTGGTTTATATATAATCACACCTACGTGGCCCCGAGCAACTCTGCATATCCCAACATGCCACAGCACATACCTGCTAACACAAACAACCCCTGATGCTCATATGGTGTGAACACCTGGATGCACTTATGGTTATCTGTTAAAGGTTCTATATGTGAGATTTGGAGGCATTTCACGTATTATTTTTATGTATTCATCATCGTTTATTGCCAATTTGTGAACGGGTTGTTGTCAGCGTGTGGACTGACGTCTATGTAAAGGTTTCGGGTTGGACTTTCCAGGAAAATGTGACGTTTCTGCGCGTTACACTGTAGTGTAAACAGTGTGCAACACTAGCTAATGTTAACTTATAAATGGAGTCCGCTAACGTCTACAAACAACCGACAAACACCACAACACAGAGTCCAAAGTCAAAGCTAACGTTACTGCAAAGTTTGTGAAATATATTGTGATATTGTGGTTTTAGCTGGCTAATGTTAACGGCCACTGGTGTCACTATTAACAAGGGTTTAACTAAAGTTACATATAACACCTTTAAGGTAATTTCTCTATAAATACTATATTTCAAAAACGCTCCTGCAGAAAGTCAAACATTTGTATCTCCTTTTTCCTTTCTTTCTCTTTTGAATGTGAGATTTCCATTTTAACCTAAACATAAAAAACGGGAGGTTTTTCCGATGACCTTTCGAGTGCGACGAGCCCGAGCAACAGTGAGCAGCTGTGTGAACCGAACTGTACAACCTGCCTTCATCAACACGTCCATCCTCGAGGTCCTAACGAGGAAAAAAGACGGGCGCTCGTGCAGCCGATGAAACTTTAATGAGAGGACCTGTACGCACATACCTGCACACACAATTGGCACTGATTGCAATAGACAGTTCTGAGTGGGAGGCTGGCAGATCCACATTACTGGCTCCCCTTTTAACGAGGGCAACAGTAAACACAGACTGAACTCAAAGGAGGGAGGGGGGGGAGCTGTTTCTGCCCTTCTGAGAGACAAGGTATAAAAATATCTCTCTTCTGAGTTTAGACACGATCAATTGTCACGTGCGAGCGCGGCACAAAGCCACGAATCCTTTTCCATATCTGCAGCAGAAAGCTCAGATCTTTCTCATATCTGGAGCACAGTTACACACCAATTAAAGGCTTTTAAACATCCAGACTTTCTCAGACGTCTGCCTGCAAGTAAAAGATAAAAAGAAATAAAAGTGGAGCTGGTTTTAGAGGAAGCGAGTCCATGTTTCCCCCCGCGACGAGACTGTCATGGAGCCAGTTTATCTCCTTGGCTTGATTAAGGAGGTTCCAGTCTCTCCCGTGTCGAGGCTTCAGAGTAATTAACGTCGGATTGGCCAACAGCGAAAAGACAGAGGAGAGGCGCCCAAGGGCGAGCAAACAAATGAGATCACCGAGGCGGCTGTCACGTCTGCCATACACCTATATTCTTATACAGGTGTGTTAATGCTGCACAACCACTGCAGGAGGGAAGAGACTGAAAACAACAAGACCCAACATCACTGACACAGTGGAGCTGGTTTACAGTGTAACAGGCAGTAATGTGTAGTAATGAGGCGGGGAGTAACAGGGTTGTAACGGACAGTAACAGGGTAGTAACGGGCAGTAACGGGCAGTAACGGGCAGTAACGGACAGTAACGGGCAGTAACAGGTAGTAACAGACATAACGGGTTGTAACAGGTAGTAACAGATAGTAACGGGCAGTAACGGGTAGTAACAAACAGTAACGGGTAGTAACAGTCAGTAACGGGCAGTAACGGGTAGTAACAGACAGTAACGGGCAGTAACGGGCAGTAACGGGCAGTAACGGGTAGTAACGGGCAGTAACAGGCTAGTAACGGGCAGTAATGGGTAGTAACGGGCAGTAACGGGTAGTAACGGGCAGTAATGGGTAGTAACGGGCAGTAACGGGCAGTAACAGATAGTAACGGGTAGTAACGGACAGTAACGGGCAGTAACGGGTAGTAACAGACAGTAACGGGAAATGGGTAGTAACGGGCAGTAATGGGTAGTAACGGACAGTAACGGGTAGTAACAGACAGTAACGGGACAGTAACGGGTAGTAGGTGTAAGGGACAGTAACGGGTAGTAACGGGTAGTAACAGACAGTAACGGGTAGTAACGGGCTCTAGTAACGGGCAGTAATGGGTTGTAAGGGGCAGTAATGGGTTGTAAGGGGTAGTAACGGACAGTAACAAGTAGTAACAGACAGTAACGGGTAGTAACAGACAGTAACGGGTATTAACGGACAGTAACGGGTAGTAACGGACAGTAACGATAGGGGTAGTAACGGACAGTAACGGGTAGTAACGGACAGTAACGGGTAGTAACGGGTAGTAACGGGTAGTAACGGGTAGTAACAGGGTAGTAACGGGCTGTAATGGGCAGTAACGGGTAGTAACAGATAGTAACGGGCAGTAACGGGTAACAGATAGTAACGGGTAGTAACAACGGTAACGAGTGCAATGGGCAGTAAATTTGATCCCTCACAGTAGTTACTCTTCAGAAAAGTTCAAACTCAGCTTGTAATAAACTCTCTAATGATAATAACAATACGCTACAGGGCGGAGAGCTAACGTTATGCTACGATACACAGAGCTAACCCTGAGTACGGTATATATAATATATTTAAATATAATTTGACAGGATGTGTAACAAACAACATCTTTGATTTTCTGACTTTGAGGTTTTTCTTCCAGAATGCGATAAATGTGACGTTGTGTGTTTTTAGATCAATGTAATTTTCCCAGTCATGATGGATGTTTATTTGGGGCTCTGAACCAAACACACACGTTACTGTGTGCGTTATATCTCATCAGATATTACACTCGACCTTTCAATGAATCGCGCAGCCCCTCTGATGATCGAGCTTTTTGAAACAATAAAAAATAAAATGGTGTTTGCTGCTTGATGACGGTGCGTTTTTGATTTGATCCGGTGGGTTTTAGAGATTTTCATCAGCCAAAAAGGCAGAAATAAAATCCCTACTTATAGAATAAATAATCCTTCAATGAAAATCACCAAAAATGACGACAGAAAAACACATTTTTAGATTTTCATCTCATCTCTCTCTCTCTGGAGGTGAGAGTTAATAAAAACCTTTTCGGGGAAGAATAATATTTAGTGTTGTGGAGCCGAGGACTCTGGGGCTTACAGCCCATTACAGGGAGGGATGGAGGGGGCAGGGCGCTCTAATGCGAGGCGGAGAGAGGTGAGACTACTGGAGGAAACGAGGACGGACGTAGAGACGATGGATGGATGGAAATATCCACATCAGCCCCGTCATACGAACACAATAAGATTCGGGGATAATGCAGTGACACACACACACACACACACACTAACTGGGAGTGGTGAGTCACGCTGGTACGACGCTGGCCTACTTTCTGTGTACCTGCATGTAGAGCCACCTGGATGAGGGGTCAGAGGTCACAGGGGCGGAGCTAGAGAGTGATATTTTGATTAAAAAAATACATTTATTTGGAAAAAAATGTCCTAATTTTTGATAATGTATTGATTTCTAATGCCGCCTTCAGGTGTTTATAGACAATGCTTTACTAATAATGTAAGGATTTGAGTTTAAATATCTTAATTTAAGTAAGCAAATTAAATCAGAATATATTTCTGCCACTATAGTTGAACCGAGTACTCAGCTTGAACGAGTATTCGGAGCAGATAATGTATTAAAGTACTAAACGAGTAAAATGTGCAAATATCTGTATAGCAGCTTTTATAAAGAAAACTTGTTCCGTTAATCGTTCTCTTGTTGCTCCGTAAATATTTTTCATATAAATGTAGCAACTTTTGAACCAATCATATCAACTTCAGACTTAAAATCTTGAAGTAAGCCCCTCCCCTTCAGAGTACAGATAGAACAGGTAAAGGCTATGACGCTAGCGCACTGAGCCGAGCTGCTGCCAACGTTAGCTCAGCTTGTTTCTCTGATAACTTAAGATCCAGACGTCCGATGACTAAAATCCTTCATCCGGTTCAAATCTAGAGTTAAAAAGCACCAAGATCTAAACAGTGGATGGTGACAATGTGGCTTCACACTGGATCAACAGTCAATGTATGACAGCTTCTGGCAGACAACCACAACGCTGACGCAGGCACAAAGGGGATGTGACGCCATCGACAGGCGACCGGTGAAACTACCTGAATAAAATGAGTTAGAGACATTGTTGATAATGTCACATAAAGAGTTTATTTATATATATATATATTTTTATATACAGTGTAATTAAAGCAGAAATGTGACATATTGTATGTTTAAAGGTGCCACAGGTGCAGGTCTGGGTTGACCCTGCAGGATCCACATAAACAAACAGCTGCTTGTTGCTTGTTGCCCCCCCCATCCAGGGTGCCCCCCCTCTCCTCACCTTCCTCAGTAATTTGAGCACGTCGGCCGCCTGCTCCATCCTGCGGTCTCTCAGCAGCTTCTGGATGTCTTTGATCCACGCCACCCTCCTCATGTACGGGCTGTGGTTGGTCCTGCGCAGCATCCCCGGCAGCTTGTCTGATTTCAGCATCAGCGCGAACAGAAAGTCCCCCCCCCCGCCCCGGCCGCCCCTGTCGCCCTCCCCGGTACCGTCCAACAGCCTGCGTCGCTTCTTGGAGAAATTCTCATTGTCCAGGCTGCTCTGCCTGCTCAGTCTGGACCCCATTATTATTACTATTACTATTACTATTATTATTATTATTATCCAACAGATGCAGCTTTTTAATAGGACAGCATCAGTCCATCACCCCGCTCTCTGCAGGCAGATATCCCCGGTTCTTCCCCCGGTTGTCCGCTGTTTTCCTGCACCGCGGGCTACGTACGTGCGGCTGGGCTCGGATGAAGAGGATGCTCCGGTTGCTTCATCCTCCTCCGGTTGCTGCTGTTGCTGTTGTTGCTGCTCTACGCTGCTGTTTTAAGGGCTTTGTGCAACGTGGAGCGTCCGACCAATCCCTGCATCTGGTGCCCGCTGCGCGTCTCTCCTCCCAGGCTTCAAACTGTCCTCTGAAGAGAGGGAGAGAGAGAGAGAGAGGGAGAGAGAGGGGGGAAGAGAGGATGTTGTTTTTCATATCTGATGAAGCATAAAGTGTTTTTCAGGCTGTGAGGTTGGAGGCGTTTCAGATTTATCCTCCACAAAGGCTGAAAGTTTCTTTCTCTCCCTCCAGTTTTCACACATTTATTGTCGCTGCTGAACATTAATTTATCTTCTGAGATATTTTATTTTTTGTAAGACATCACATGAGCTGTCAAATCTGTGGAAGCACATTAATGCCAATATATATATATATATATATATATATATGTATATTTATAATAATAAAGATTCTGTAAGTCTTTATAACGAGAAACTATCTCCAAATACTGACTTAGTATCTCAAAGTCAATATTTTGAAATACAAAATACTGATAAACTTTCTCATTATTTTGAGATATTAAGTCATTAATTTGAGATATTAAGTCATTAATTCGAGATAATTACTTGTTTTTTTGAGATAATAAGTCATTAATTTGAGATAATAAGTCATTAATTTGAGATATTAAGTCATTATTTTGAGATATTAAGTCATTATTTTGAGATAATAAGTCATTATTTTGAGATATTAAGTCATTAATTTGAGATAAGTCATTAATTTGAGATATTAAGTCATTATTTTGAGATAATAAGTCCTTAATTTGAGATATTAATAATATCATTATTTTGAATTATTTTTGGTTCTTAAAACTGCTGAACTGTGTTTCCACCAGTGTTTGAGCAGAACTTTTGTAATTGAGGAATAATTTTTGGAAAATAACTCTTCTGGTTCTGAACTAGTTTCTAAACGATTCAAAAAGAGCTCGAACGGAGTCGGTTCGGTTGGTGGAAAAGGCCAAAATATGGAGATTTATCTCCGTTAATGAAGCGTTGGTTGTGATAGTTCTTTCTTTCTTTCTTCTTTATAAAACTTCCATAGTTTAAAGATGTAATCAAGTAATTGTTGACAACGTTGTTAGACATTTCAGAGGTACAAACACTTTGTTACTGTATTTTATCTGCTTTAGTATTTAGTTTATAACGTTTTACTTTTACTCCTGCTTACATTCTTCAGTTTTAATGAATTATTATTATTTTCTGCATCAGAGACTCGACCTTATTTAAAGTTCCAGTTATTTTATACAGAAACAGCCAGTAGAAACGTCCTTCAGAGCTGTTTTACTATTATATTTACTGTAAGTGCTTTTATTTCTATGTGAGTAAAGAATGTTTGTATGTTTTAAATGTAATCTGGGTTGTTTATAGTTGTAATCTGATTATGTAATCCAGTCAGTATAATGGTCCATGAGGGACACAAGAGCCAGCTCTTAGATATTTCCCAGCATCCTCCACATCTGCACTTTTATTGAATATTACCTCAGACATAAACGCAGCCTTTGGATTCAATCACGCGGAGGTTTGTTTTCTATTTGTAGGTCCCATCGTTGCAGCTTTAAGGACTTTGATCCTGATCTGACCTTATTCTCCGGTTATGATTCAGACTTACTCTCGTTCAGTGGAGCAGGACGGTTGGCGCTCTCTAATAAAAATTCCCCCCGGACGCACTCGGCCCTCCCTGGACTCGGCCTGCTGCATATTTCCCTAGAGGTTGTGATTATGGTTGTTTGGAGCCCTTCATCACCGCGCTACTAATTTGTTTAGTCAGAGCTGTGACTCTCTGAACAACGCATTAAACGCGACTGTATGGAAGCTCATGTGTGTCAGTGTGACGTACAGAAAGAATTCTGAGAATCATTATGAGAAACCTTCTCAAAATAATGAGAAATTATAATATATTAAGTCAATATTTTGAGATATTCAGTCAATATTTTGAGATATTCAGTCAATATTTTGAGATACCATGTACCAAACATCCAGTGTGTAACATTTAGGAGGGTCCTCTTCTGTCGGAGTCCGACATGTTGAACCGCCATGTTTCTACAGTAGCCCAGAACAGACAAACCAAACACTCTTAAAAATAATTTATTTATTTAATAAAACAACCTTCTGTGGTTGATTTTCTAGATTTATAAGAACATGCTTGCGTAAATGTTAGCCAGCTTTCTAACTGTCAAACTGCAGTCCTTTGGCGAGATGTTCTACGAAGTACCGACAGTGCAGTCAATAAGATACCGAAACAAAATCACCATTCTTGACGACATTATGGTCGTCGACTATCAAATTAAAGGCAAAAATGCCCCCAAAAACACTGACATCATAACTTTCAACCACCTTTATTGCATCACTGCTGAGAAAAAAGCTGAATATCCAACTTATAATCGCAGCAGAGACGACAGAGCCAGCATGCAGAGGCCCTATCATTAAAGGACTGCAGCCAACCATAAAAACACATGACATCACCTCCTTTCCCCCACTGAGGCCGACTCTCTGCTGCAAGTGTTTCCTGCAGGCTGCCTTTCACCTGTCGCTGAGGAACAACAGCGTGTGATTCGATTTGCCGAATTTGAGCGTTCGGGGCAACAGACCCATTTACTGTGTGAAAACAATCAGAGGGAAGCCTGGCGGGCAGGAGTGTGTCCCTCCCAGCAAAGTCAAAATGAAACCTACACACACGACTCCGGCTGTGGGATAAAAATAAGCTCCGGCTGATATTTATGGAAGCTCATTTCAGCCAATGTGAGATATTAAGTCATTATTATGAGATGTTACGTCAATATTTTGAGATATTAAGCCAATGTTTTAAGATATTATGTCATTATTGTGAAATACTACATCAATGTTTTTAAATATTACGTCATTATTTGGGATATGTCATTATGTTGAGATATTAAGTCAATATTATGACTTAGTACTATGATAAAAGGTCATTATAAAGACTTACAGATCCCCATCCCCCATCCAGTGACAGTCACATGTGCACTCAGGCTGACTTTGAGGGCTTTTTGTGATGAGCAACAAACAGACACGTAATTGTCCTCTTCCGCTATAAATCAGCTCTGTCCATTAAATAAACTCTCCTGCTTGGGGCGGCCTGAACCTGGGAGATCCAGAACAGGATAGTAGTGATTAGATTTAGACACAATCACAACAGCAGCAGCAGCAGCCGCCCACAGGCTCCTGTGACGGTGCTTTATCAGCGAGGCCCAGCAACAGGAGCGCACGCTGGATTAAACATATTCTGCTCTTGAGAAGCTTGAACCTGCCGGGCGAAGGCTGGGGCGTCTCAATCGGCTCGAGGATGCCTGCAGAATAAAGCCAAACTGACTTTGTCACGCCTACTGAGTGTGGCAACGCTGCTGGCTGAGCCAATCGCACAGAGCGAGCCCCCCCCCCGACCGAGCTGCAGCCGGCATCTGTAAACAGATCACCTGCACTGTGGCTGCCAGACTGATATCAGAGTGAAATCCAAGGTTACGTATGGAGGACCGAGGAGTTTCACTCCAGAGCGAGGAGAGGGAGGCATCCATCATCTGGGGAAGTGACGTCCGCTTTTTAAAAAATGATGGATTGAATCACAACAAATCGAGATCTTCATTGTGAATGATTGTGCAGCCGGTGGAAGTTACTTATTGCTTCACTGCGGAGAACCAACAGCAGCTGCAGAGGGAAGCTTTAGAGTCCTGCAGTCTGATGTTTGAAGGATGTTTCCACATTCAGCGGCTGAAAGTGGAAAGTTTATGGCTGATTTTAAAGGGGGCGGGGCCTACGAGCATGATTTGTGACATCACAAATAGAGGATGTGACTCCTGCAGGGAGATCCAGCGGTGCACAGACACTGAGGGTGGACTTTACAGTGAAGCAGGAGACATCTGGAAATGAACAACATTTGCATATTCATAGATTCTGGAGTTTTTAATGAGGCTGAAGGAGTAAATGACTTTTTAAGGATTTAAATCAGCTCCTCCAGGGTTGATTTCAATTTCACAGAAGCTTTTTTAAACACTTGTGATGCATGCTTGGGATGTTTTCAGGCTTTTTTTTTTTTTTGCAATGAAATTACAGGAGAAAGTGAAAAGAGATGTTGGTATAATTCCTTTAAACTGAAGGCAATAAAATAAAATAAAAGGCGTGTGACTCAACGTCTCCGGGGATTTATTATTATGATTGGACAACATGTCGAGGTATTCACAGGGATTAGTTGAATTTGTGTTAATTGTTACGATGTTTTTTTGGAACTTTTTTAGCAATGAAATTGTGCGAGAAAGTGGAAATAGCAAAAATAGTTTTGTTGTTGTTGGTGTATTTTATTAAAAATCTAAAGGCAAACATTGTAACATCCATGTTTACACCTCGACTCTTTCCTCCGTCATTTAAGTTTACGGATCAGGTTTCGACCCATCAAAAGAAACAGAGCACACAGACAGAGAGGAGAGACAGGTCAGCCTCTTGTAGCCACAGTGAGATGCAGGGAGGTGAGACAGCGACCGGAGGAACCTCCAGTGGAGAGAAACAACGGAGGGAAAGAGAGACAGGAGTGAACAGACAGCTACTCGGACCCAATATTTCCTTTTTCTTCACTTTTTCCTCATTATGTGATGAATCATCAACAAATAGAATAATAGAACACTATAGGATTTTAAACAGATGAAGCATACAAACAATATGGCCTTTAATGTCCCTGCAGGAATATCTGAGCTACCTTTCACTTTTCTCCAATCACTGCAACTTTTCTGCTCATTGTAGTTTCCTGCAAACTCACTTCCTGGTTTCCAGCTGTGCACAGTTTGATTTTATTCTCACTGGAACAAGTTGAAATACCAAATGCCTAAAAAAACATTGAAACACGCATCTGAATTTTTAATAAAAGCTGCAGTGACATCGGGCATTTTGGGCCGAAACAATCCCCCAAAAAAGGCCACAAAATCCATGAAGGACTTTATTATTAATGTGGAAATCATCTTTATTAATATACAGACACATTATTGTTCCAGCAGATTATTAGTACATATATCTTTATACAGTGGAGAGGATCTGTAATGACCTCAATGACCCTCAGGTTCCTCTCTGTCTGTTTCTCTGCCTGTATTTTTGAACAAATGAAGCACATCGTTATTATCCAGAAAGCACTGCTCATCAGGGGCTCAGTCACACCTTAAAAACCAAAACATGACACATAATGTTCCCTCAGCAGAGACTGAAGCCGGTCACACTAAACACAGAGCGAGTCGAACAACCAACTCTCTTCTTTCTGTCTTCTGTCTGTCTATCTAACAACAAGGTGAGTTAACTTTCTGCTCCTTTCTCTCATTATTATTCATGTAAAGTTTTATTTCCTATCTCATCCTGATGCTGTATTCCTGTCGTCGCCGCTCTGTGCTGAGACTCAAACTATTGCTCATTGATTAAACGGATCCCTGTGAGTGAAACCTTTTGTCCCTCCGTGAGAGGAGCCCAGACGTGTGTTTAACCTACGCAAATCCACCCAGACAGACTCGTGTGTTGATATTAATTGTTCGGGATGGAGGTCAGAGACGCACAGCTGCCGCTCTACAACTCACATTTTCTCTGATTGAGGTGGTTTTTTTCCCCCGGCAGGAAAATGGTTGGGAAGTCCCTGATTGCTGGTCTGGTGGTCCTTCTGGTGGCTGCGGTGAGCCTGTTCCTGGGGGTGTTCATGGGCTTGGGGAAGAGAAACACGCCTCCCCCCTTGGACCACTTCTACTCGAAGGCCGCAGTGGCTGCTGACGCTGGAAAGTGTTCAGAAGTGGGGAGGTAAGAAGACGGAGAGAGGAGAGTCGGGAACAAGCTAACGTGGTTTAATGTTAAAGTTTTTTTGGTCTTGACCACAGCAACAGTGTTAAAATACGGTCGCGTAGGTCGACCCTAATCAGCCACTGACAGTTCGCATAGGAGGTTTATTCCAAGTGGAAACTTTCTCTTTGGCTGCAAATGAAGCCAACACAGAAATATTATAGCCTGCAGTTCCTCTAACGGCCACTAGAGGCTGGCTCCAGCAGTTAGTCAGCAGAAATAAATATGTTTGGTTTTAGTTAATTTCCAATTTTTATATTAAAGCATGATTTTAACTTTAACTTCTTCCTTTACAGGGGGCGGTTTTTTTTTGGTGGCCCCCACAACACCCACACTCACCCCCCACAACTTCCAAAAACCCCCCCCCCCCCCCCCAAACCCCCCCCCCCAACAAAAAAAAAAAAAAAAAATTTTAAAAAACAAAAACAAAAAAAAAAAAAAAAAAAAAATTTAAAAAATAATCTTGAATCATATCACAATATGGTGTCCTAATGGAGAATACGTCCATTTTTATTTAACCTGTTTATGATTTATTCCTAATTAGATGATTATTAATAGTTGTTGAATCCTGTTGAACCGGTTCAAGAACCAGAGTTAGGTCTTGGTCCACACGTCTGTCCCCAATCGTTCTGTTTTGCAGCCATTTGTTCGACCTCCTTTTCACCATCTTCTCACATTTTAACTCCTAACTAATCGTTGATGTATGTAAATTAATTTATTCAGAGTTTTTCCTCCGTTACCAGAAGCAGCACCGTAGTTTGAACTCTAGACTTTGTTTTCCAATCCAACGCGGTGATATCACAATCATTGTTCCATTTTCTGTTTTCAGGGACATCCTGAAGAAAAACGGTTCAGCCGTGGATGCTTCCATCGCCGCCTTGCTGTGTGTCGGCCTTCTGAACGCTCACAGCATGGGCATCGGAGGAGGGCTCTTCTTTGTCATCTACAACGCTTCCACGGGTGAGTGACCGCCGTTACTTCAACGACCTCTCGACTAATGTAAACCAACATCAGCAAAAAAACAATCATAAACCGCATTTCCTGCTCAACAGGGAGGGTAGAAACCATCGACGCGAGGGAGACGGCGCCGATGAACGCCACTGAAGACATGTTTGGCAACAACACCAAGCTTTCCCGCACAGGTACGAGATACTGGAGTATTTCCCAGAAACAGGTTTATTGTGTTCTGGAAACACGACTCTCTAATGTTGTATCAGAGCTGGGGGGGATTTAAAGAGGATAAATACTCTCAAATCTACCGGCTCTTGGATTTCCTGAACAACAAGGATCTATTTTTTTTGGGGGGGGTTTGGTGTGCTGACGCTGTGAAATTCAAAGAATAGTGACGCTGCTGTCTCTACGCGACAGGTGGGTTGTCCATAGCCATTCCCGGGGAGATCCGCGGTTACGAGATGGCGCACAAGAGGCATGGCAGGCTGCCGTGGAAGGACCTGTTCGAGCCCAGCATCGCCTTGGCTCGCGACGGTTTTCCTATCGGGAAAGCTTTGGCTCACGCCATCTTCAAGAGCAAAGACTCCATTCAGAGAGACGCCAACATGTGGTGAGGATGAAGAGTTAAAGGTCCAGTGTGAGGATCTATTATTGAATATAATATTTATAGGTATGTTTTCATTAGTGTATAATCACCTGAATATAGGAATATATTGACGGAGGACAGTTTGACGACAGAGAATAAAGTACTGAGTTGTTTTTATTGTTTGTTGGGAACAATATAACTGAGGATGTGACCTTTGAGAGTTAAAATTACATTTTTAATTTCACTTTGACTTTAAGTCTGATCTGGTTTGACTTTCAAAATAAAGCTTGCAGTCGTAGTTTCACAACTTGGGAGTGAAAACAGTTTTAATGTTAAGTGGATACCTGCTGGTTTTCTTTCATGGTGCAGATGCAAATTTTTGTTTCTCTCTCTGGCCTCACCCACTCCCCCCTGTTGGGTCCACAGACTTTACACTGGGTTTATGTCCCTGACATATAACGTCCCCGATTTTGCATAAAGCAGCCTAGACCTCGACTTTATGCAAATGAGCAGCTGCTAACCGTGACGCCCCGCCTCTGGAAACGCAGCGCTACAAGAATGCATTCATTATAATAGAAATGTGATGTGTTTATATTTCTGAAGCCTCTTTGTGTTGAATTATTATGGTTTCATATGTTTTTAGTCTCCAGAAGTGTAAATATAAAGACAACAATGTGCACGTCAGTTCGATTTCCAGACATTTTACAGATTCTCCTCGTACAGTAGCGGCTTTAATTTCAACTTAAACTTCTACAATTTAACAGTTTTTCTTCCTCTTCTTTGTCCTGTCGTCTTCTAGTGAGGTGTTTTGTGATTCTCAGAGAAACATCCTGAAGGAAAACGATATTGTCAGATTTCCAAAGCTGGCCGAAACGTACCAAAGAATAGCCGAGGAGGGGCCCGACGTGTTTTATAACGGCTCCATGGCGCAGAGCATCGTCGAGGACATCCAGGCGGCAGGTCGTGTGCTGTGTTCTTCTTTCTTTAGAGTTACATAATGAATAATTAACGACTGAGAAACTCCACATTGCTGAAATAAAAAAAAAAAAAAAGGAGAAATGAATCAATTTGAGCATTTTAGATTCACTCTGACACTTCTGTGCTCATTCCAGGCGGCATCATCACCCTGGATGATTTGTTGGATTACCAGCCGGTGCTGAACGAGAACCCTCTGAGGCTCAACGTCGGGGAATACACCATGCACGTCCCAGACGCCCCCTCCAGCGGCCCGGTGCTGGCACTCATACTCAACATAGTGGATGGTGAGCGGGCCCGGGCCAAGAGCTTGTGCAGCCGTGCAGAAGAAAGGATGTCAGGTTTCCCCAGGTCGTCCCTGCAATGTTTCTCCGCCTGATTTGGAGGCAGAAAACAGAGCTGAGACGCAGCCAAATTGAATCCACCATCAACGGCCCATCTGTTCGGGCAGAGAGGACTCTAAGTCATGCTTTAAATAAAGTGGCATCGTTAATTTCAAATGAAGGATAAGATTTAATGTGTTCATATATGAATCTGGAGGCTCTAATGTTCATAGTTTGTGTTGTTTGAATGGAGGGTTTAATAGAGTCAATTGGTTTCAGGTTAGAGGCTGAAATAAGGTCTGTGGTTGATGTAAATACTCCAATACTGTAGCTCAGCTTGTTTCTCTGATAACTTAAGATCCAGACGTCCGATGACTAAAATCCTTCATCCGGTTCAAATCTAGAGTTAAAAAGCACCAAGATCTAAACAGTGGATGGTAACAATGTGGCTTCAGACTGGATAAACAGTCAATGTATGACAGCTTCTGGCTCAGATGACCTTTTTTTGGTGATTTATGCTTCAAAAATCATAAAAGTGTTAATTTATAAAGATTATCTTGAAGAAATATGTAAGTTTTATAAACCTTTGTTTGCCACAGTGCCTATTTTCTCTAACTTTAAGGTTGAAGTACACAAACACGTCGTCTCTGCCACCGACTGAAACCGACTTTCAGCTCAACGACGGAGAAGATTGAGCCGGTAAAATGTGATTCTTCACTTACATTTATTTCCTGTGGATATTTTACAGGTTACAACTTCTCAGACACGAGCGTCTCTACGGCAGAGAAGAAGACTCTGACGTACCATCGCATCGTGGAGGCGTTTCGTTTTGCCTACGCCAAGAGGAGCCGACTGGGGGACCCACGCTATCTCAATATCACCGATGTAAGTTGTCATTATCATCAGACTTTTATTTTGGCAGTTTTTAGCTTCACTGTATGATAGTTTCCTGAAGTTTGGGAGTGAAATACCTCTAAAATATTCATATATTCTCCCAGAGGCCAGCAAGTGCTCTGCTTTTGTTTACCGCTGATGGTTTTTATGACAGGCTGTCAGGAGACTGAGTGTCTTGTTTTGCTCTCTTCAGCTCATCCACAACATGACCTCAGACTACTTCGCTGACGGCATCAGGAGTAAAATTACAGACGACACCACCCATCCAGACAGCTACTACGAGCCGGACTACTTCGTCCCAGACAACCACGGGACGGCTCACCTGTCGGTCATAGCCGAGGACGGAAGCGCCGTGGCTGCCACCAGCACCATTAACCTCTAGTAAGGAGTGATCCTTCAGAATAAAAGCATGCATTTCTTGAACCTAACGCTCGGTTTTGATGATTTTTTACTCATTAAAAATATGTTTTCTTTCCTCAGCTTTGGTTCCAAAGTCATGTCTCCATCGACCGGAATCATTTTCAACGATGAAATGGATGACTTCAGCTCGCCGTACATCACCAACGGGTTTGGAATCCCGCCTTCGCCGAACAATTTCATCCAACCAGGTGTGACTGGACTGAATTATCACACCTGTAACCAGAAGGCGACTCGTTCATTGTTAACAGGGGGAGCATCTTAGTGATGAGAAGACGGCTTCTTTTACGTTTATCCGTCCGTTTGAGATTTCACGGCAGGTTTTCTAAAAAGTTGCGATGTTCTTGGGGCTTTTTTTGCGATAGGATAGGAAGGAAACTTGTTCAAACGAGAATAAAATCTCTAGTAGTTTGGTGACGTATGGTTAGACAGTTCTGCTCGGGGCACTTTGATCGGTGACCCTTGCGATTATTGTTCAAATTCGCAAAAAAGTTGCGGTAATTGGACAAAAACTGCAAGAATTCACTGTGATTGGTTGGATTTGCATTAATTGTCTCAACTTCCTGGAGAAATGTACGATGCCTGAATTTACAGCAGCTTTTCTACACACTTGCAATGTTTTTAGGTGTTTTTTTGTAATGAAATTGCATAAAAAAAGCAAAAATTGTTGCGTTTAGTTTTTGTGCAATTCATTAAAAATTCAAGGAAACTTGTTTCGGCAAGAATAAAATCACTTATAGTTTTGTGGCGTATCGCGAGACCTTCTGTCTACTAGCTACGTCTTTTCTTCAAGAAAATTAGTTGTGATTATCATTAAATCTTTGTATAATTCATCAAAAATTTATGACAACTTGTTCCAGTGAGAATAAAATCTCACTGTTTGTAGGATAGAAAGAGGAAAGTGAGTTTGGTGACGTGTAGCTCAACGTTTGGTGCAGGAAACTACAAAGATTATTGTGGTAGTTGTACTTAAATTAAGTTTGTGTTGTTTTCAATGTTCAGTTTCAACTATTTTCTTGAGTTAAAATAACAATAAATCAGATTTCAGTGTAAAACCAAGTTCATTTAACTCAAAAACATTTTGAAACTGAATTTCTTTTACTTAAAATAAATGAATTATTTGATAATAATCTGATGTTTCAGAGCCATCTAACTTCCACACATGAAGTAGACGAGACATTTCTCAGTTGTTACTGACAGAAAAATAACATCTTTAAACCTACGAAACAGAAGACACAAAGTCTCTGATACACAACGAAGCGCTTGAGAGAAGTTTTAATAAGCACTGTTACTATATAGAAGCATCAAGTGAGATGATTTACAACGTATGTAATTGGTTTCTAAGTTTCCAGGCTGCAAAAGAAGATCTGTAAATGTTAGAAAAGCTGCGCTGGTAAAATATAAACGCTCTTCAAACACGTAATAATTCTGTCGGGATATGACGGTGTCCTCCTATTAGTGAGGCGACTGCAGGTTAATGAAGGGAGACAACATCTTCACTCAAATCACTGCTTGTAACCCGAGTTTAAGTTGTGACTTTAGTGTTTTTCTACATCCTGTCAGTGTCTCTTAAACAACCTCACCCTGCTCCGGTTTAAAGAGCCTCGCTGTTTACAGACGTTTTACATAGGTGTCGAATGAACGCGGGGAATGTAAACGTTTATCCATTAAGCAGTCGTGGCCACGTTCTGTTTATGTGTTCGCAGGCAAGAGGCCGCTCTCCTCCATGTGTCCGACCATCATCTTCGACAAAGAAAACAGAGTGAAAATGGTCGTTGGAGCGTCCGGAGGCACAAAAATCACCACGGCAACAGCCTTAGTACGTCTGATTCAGTCACATTCATCTCAGACACTCAGTGGAGTTGTTTAAAAACCTGTGATGGTCTTTTCCCCTTCTTTCTTTCTCTGGCTGCAACAGGTCATCCTGAACTCCCTGTTCTTCAACTACGACCTAAAGAAAGCTGTGACGGAGCCGCGAGTTCACAACCAGCTCAACCCCAATATGACAGTCGTGGAGCAGGGCTTTGAAAAGGTGGGTCACACACGGGAAAACAAACACCGGAGCTAAACAGCCTCTGATCATTAAAGAGACGTCGATTGATCTCATTTCAGTTTAAAGTCAGGATGAAGATCAACTTGCAAAGACCTGAAACTTTGGACAATAAGAAATTCAGTTATTGTTTAAGCATCTGAAGAACTGGGTCCCAAACTTTAACCTTTTCTATCAGCGAGTAAACTGACTGTATTTATTCATTATAACAATAACAGCAGAGAACGGCTGATAAACTGAACAATGAATCCAAACAGTGAACTCGATAACTGCAGGAAGTTTGTGTAAAACCAGAGATTTTAATGAATTTTGAGCAGATTATTTCCTGTAAATATTAATCAGAGATCAGTTTTTCTGATATTTTTATACAATTCTCTGTATTTTCTCATTGTCTATTAGCTCTTTGGTTGTTTTCTGATGCTATCAGGCTCTGTCAATATCCTGTTTATATTATAAATAATAATCTAAACTTTAAAAATAACAATTTCATTTAGTTTCCTTTCCTAGAAATAAATTATATGTCTCCTGTATATTTTAAAATATTAGTTTTTTAATTCTGGCGATGGCATTTACACTTCAAAAATCACAAAAGTGGTTAATTTGTGACGATTATCTTGCAGAATGAAACCTTTGTTCACCAGAGAGTTTATTTCTCTGCAATAATTCTCCAAAATCCAACGGAAATTAGTCAGCATCTCACCTCAGAGTCGACAGATTCTTGGTTAGACGTCTGAAACAAACTTGAGAGTTTCACGTTTTGTTCTACGACATAAAATACGTCAGTAAATACCCGACCTGTGACTGAAGGTGGTTGCTAACAAGCGGTTAAATGAGACTAAAGTTAAACTACAGAAACACGCCGTCACTGCAGCACTTTACGTTTCAGTCGTAGCAAAACTAATTATAAAGAATAAATAAATAAATAGTTTACTGATCTTTTCCAAATTTCTGGTTCATGCAAGTTGATTTTCAGTGTTTTTCTTAATGTTAACCAGATAAATGTTCCTTCACCTCCTGCACAATGTTTCTGTTTGTGTAAACGATGACAACCACGGCAGAGCGTCCTGGACGGTCTGGTCCTGAAGAACCACGTAACGCAGCTGCTGCGGACTCCGGACTCGGTGGTCCAGGCGGTGGTGCGGCAGGGAGAGCGTCTGTGCGCAGAGTCGGACCCCAGGAAAGGAGGCTATCCGGCGGGATACTGACCCCGCGACTCCCCAGGGGTGTGGGGGGGCCCCCTTTTTCTCTGCTGCTCTCGGTGCAGACAGCCTCCTCAAAGACAGACGGACAGAGCCACAAAAGGCGGAGTTTAAAAAGCTGAGGAGACGCAGCCGACGGGAAAATGACTCCATTACGAAAAAAACCTCTTTTACTCAGACTCTCCCTGTTTTGGCATTATTTTTGAGTTTTGAAGTAAAATAAGAGGTTGCACCTAGTTTGACTCCTGTATCCTCACTACTGGACGCTGGTCAGGACGGCCGAAACACATCAGCTTTATATCATAAATCATGTATGAGAGAGTATCCAACATATTAAAAAAAAACAACCAAATAATTAGAGGAATGTCAGAATAATAATGTTCTTAGGTTTCATCACCATGTTTTTAAGGTAAGAATCTGAGTGGTTGTAGGTTGTCCGTGTAGTATTTTCATTTATTTTATTGTCTAAGGAACAAACTATTGTCTGAAAGAGGGGTCAGTGGGTTGGTGGGGGTTAGGGAGGGTTGTTTTCATGTCAAACCATCAATTAAAAAGCAGACATGCAAGCAGGTACCGATCAATAACGAGGACGCCTCAGGTTGTTTGCCTGTTGTACCGAAATGTCCTGAAACGAAGCTCATTTAGCGGGAAAAACTGAGCGTGTTGTTTTCTACCGTGACTCTACATTGAGACTATTACATTTGAATTGTAAATGTTTAATATCGAGTAGAGGTTAAAGTGAATGTATAGTGTATTCTGAAAAAAATACATTTGCAGATATATTTTTCTAAACATTGCATTGTTCTTATGCCATGTTTGTTGCCATGCTTGTTATTAAACATTTTGAACAAAGATGTTATATTTTACCATAAGGGCCCTCTGGGTAATTTCTGTTTCTGGAACTAATGGGAGCGAAAAATCAGAGGAATTCACAGATTACCGATATGGAGGCCGAGATAGCGATATAGAGCTTTACTGTGGGGTTTGTGCACTATGTGACCTCCGCAGAGACACTCAGAAGGCGGTTTTCTTAAAGTAATGACTTTATTTAAGAGTATTTAAGTTAAATAGTCCTTAAAATGTTAAATATTTGTTGCCATACGTTGTTTATTTGTGTATTTTGTCCTTAAAAAGTTAACAAGGTGTACTTCTCCGCTTAAAATCTCCTCTGAAATTTCACCCGGAGTCTGCACGCGGTATTTTATTTTGAAAATTGACTGGATTCTCTTTGCTGTTTCTGTGTCTGACTTCCTGGCAGTGCAACCCAAAGCTTCACCTACAATTATTTTCATTCTCGATCAATTGTTTAGTCTTTAGAATTAACCATAAAAATATGTTCCCGACCCCAAAGTGATGTGTTGTCCAGAAACCCAAGGAAACAGCTAAATGCTAACATCAGCAGGCTAACACCCTGATGTTTGGCAGGTATAATGTTTACTATATCTTAGTTTAGTGTGTTAACATGCTAACCATCAACATATACCTCTATATCGCCCCCTAGTGGCCGACTGCAGTACAGCTCAAAGCCTCCACGTTAGTAGACGTTATTTCAGGTTGTTCTTTTCACGCTTTGTTAATTTTTATCATCAGTTTGGTTTTAATTAGTTAATTTAAAGGAGTTTTCAGGTCGTGATTGAAAGCTGAGCCCTGCTAGCATTGAGTCGGCTGGACGTATTGGCGGGACTTCGATACCCATCAGATCGGAGTATTTTAGCTTCATTTCTGTACAGTGGGAGGAAGTGGAAACGTTCTTTAATATGTCGATGATGCTAAGGTGTTTTGACCTGATGGAGTCAAAGTCAGACGATCTCCGAGGTCATTAAATTCAGAACAATTCATCTGACAGTTTCAGACATTTCTGGTGACCCTGGAGGACTGAAGTCATTACGATTCCTCCTCTGAGGAACATTAATGTCTGTAGAAAATGTCATGTTCATCCATCCAGTGGCTGTCGAGACATTTCGGTTTGGACCACGGCGGCGGACAGACAGACCGACGCCGGCAGGGTCGGCTAAAAAGCAGCTCGCACTGTGAATGTTTGCTTCACATAAAAGATTCATCAGTTATAAAACGTGTGTGTAGATATCAGTCGACTCGTCGTTTCAGCACTAAAACACACACACAGCAAAGTTTGAAAGGTTCAGCTGCGGTCAAACGAGGTAAACAAACCCTCCTGCAGGACGCCTGAAGAGACCCGACCCGCTCTACTTTCACTGTCCAGTGAGTTTCAATCAGCATTCAGTAAATATCGGCACAAATGTGCAGCAACAAGGAGACTGTTTATTCGCTTCTGGCTGAAAACCTTCAATCTCAAAAGTGTCATTTTGTTAGTTTTTGTCATTTATTACTTTACTGAGCTTTAAAAAAAAATAAAAATCAGTCAGAGGTTTTCTGCAGGTTAAATTTAAGACTTTTAGGACCAAAAACTTATAAAGAATATAAAGGATGTTGGTTTTGTTTTGTTTTATGTTACAATAAATACAAATTTCTTCCCAAAAACACATTTAAAAGAGACTTTATATGTAACTTTATTAATCCAATCAGTGTAAGAGCTCATCTTTAAAAGGTGCAGTGTGGAAAACAAAAGTTTTTTGTCATCAGTGGATGTTTATTTGCTGTCACATCACAATTTTTTTTGCGTCAGCTAATTATTGTTTTGGTGATTTTCTAACTTGGATATTGGAGAAATAATCACCTTCTGGCACAAACTGCACGCCAATAACAATGTGCGCATGTGGCAGCGCGGACGGTGAGCAGCTGTTCATCTTGGATGAGAAAAGAAAAAAGACTGAGCTGCAACACGGCAGCTTATCTGTGTGTGTGTCTCTTTAGGAGAGTAAATAACAAACAGACCAATCTCTGAAAGTCTTTATAGCTGCTTTTATACTCTGATCAGGTTTTAAAAAGATTTTATCTCCATTTGATGGCAGAATTTTCTCAGTTCATGTAAATTGCTCTGCTGCTGCATTAAGAAGCACTTTAAAAACCAGCAGATTCAAACAGGAAGCTTTAACAATAATCCCACTGCAGCAAATTGTACCTGCCAACATTAACACTCCTCAGGTCGGGGGTCTTTAGCTCCGCTCCAGTGGCTCCTGGTGGCTTTATTTATTATTTTATATATATATATATATATATATATATATATAAAATATAAATATGTCCATACAATCTTTTGTTGAAAGCCACAAGGAGCCACCAGCGAGCGGTTGGCGGACGCTGCTTTAGGTAAAAGCACAAACTGACCTCCGCACGCTCAACCCTGCACACAGTTAACACACACATACTCCTTTTATAGTGTTTTCTACAGAGCATTAGTTCCTTCTGAACCGACCATGCGAACGAAAGTGGCTCACAGACTCTTAACAGGCTGTCGGGACTAACATGTAAATACAGGTCTTAAACGACGTCCTCGTGCCTGAAGCCACATCACAACGGCCCCGGCTCGTGAGAGAGAGCAGGGTGTGATATTTACATAAAGAACAGGTCTGTCTCTTTACGATGCGTCACTGTAATCCATCTGTTTATGCAGGAAACGACAAGAAGCCAAACATGGCACTTCTAACTAAACAGAATGCTTCGAGGGGGCCGGCTGCAGATGGTAAATGAGTGAGAGGAATTTCCAGTCAGGCACACCTTAAAATATCAGAGTATAAACTTTAAACTGTAGCTGAACTTGAGTTGCAACCAAAGAGATATTCCTCTCACAATGAATCCAAATACTTTCTTCAGATCAACAGAGAACTGATTGAGATGAAACAAGATGTTTATTTTCTTGTGTGCAGCGAGTAATGGATTACAGGCCCGACGGGACACTTCGGTGCAACGTTATCGGGCTGAAATTGTTCTCTGTAAGTGGACGACAGACGCAGTATCTGCTGTTAAGTCATCACGGGTCTATTGCATTATAAATGTGATCACAATTTCCTCCTCGGATTCCAGCTCCATCAGTACTCTTCTGGTGAAATATGAATCATCCGGGCCACTGAAACACATTCATCTTGTCGCTAACTGTGATATTACCCTCATTCATCAAACAATGGACAGCTCCTGATAAACTTTGGACGTTTCTGCTGCCGCTGCGTTGCCCGACAGGCCCGGACGGTTGCCGTGCGTGGGAGCTGTTAAACCACATGTTATATCTAACATCAGCCATCATTCAAATCTGTACCTGCGTGAAGAGTTGACCTACTCTCGGTCTACTGGAAACTCACCCTCATTTATGACTACCGACATTGTGTCCTCTCTCATTATCAGTCTTCCACTGTTGCTCTCTGCTTCAAAATATAAACACACACTCCAGAGCAGGACAGATCGCCACCGCCATCTAGTGGTGCCTCAGGAGGAGGTGTTGTGTCTGTTTTCCCAGCAGAAGATGACTCCAGTTTGCAGGTCAGAGCCGCATGGAGACCGGTGGCGCCGGCGACTGCAGCTCCTGGTCCAGCAGCCGGAAGAGCATGGCGCTTTTGTTGCACTGTGAGGTTTGACCCAGAGAGCGGTGCAGCTGAGCCTGCAGGTAGTGGACGTCCCGCAGACGCTCCTTACAGTTCAGCCTGAAGAAATAAGCCGCAGCCTCCTTTAGCGTGTCGACAGCCAAAACCGCCAAACGCAAATCTGCAGAGACAACGAGTAGCAGTGTGTGTAAAGCAGAGATAGGGATGAGTAGCACAGCGGGGAGATGAGGGGACGGGAGGGAGGCGAGGGTGTTACCTGCTTGCCCTTGTCCGTTTGGCCTGAACCCAGCCACCGCCATCTGACAGCGGGCCGTCAGCAGCAGGGCTCGGCCTTTGTCCATGACCGCTCCGTGGGCCAGAACGGGCTCGATGCAGGCTTCATGCAGAACGCAGAGAGCCTGCTCGGGAACCCCCAACATCAGCTGCAGGAAGGAGGAGAAACAATAAGCTCATACCGGTGGTGATTTGCATTTACGGTGCGGCTGTAACAGTGAGCGAAGTCCGCTCTGACCTGAGTGAAGGCCAGATGAAGGATGGTCTCTGAGGCCAGGGACTGTAGGTGATGCTGTCTAGCCAGAGCCAAGGCCTGCAGGAGGAGAGGGAGAGCGGTGGAGAACCCGGAGGACTCCCAGTGGAGCTCAGCGGTGGAAAGCATGACTCTGTATGAGAGTGGTTTATGATTTGTAACGTAAATGAATTCAAATCCACGAATAAAAAGACAAAAGGTAGACGAAGTGGAGGTGTGTTCTCTCTCTAAGCATGTACCTGATGACGACCTCTGTGCATTTAGTCTTCTCACAGTGCACCTGCAGTCGCTGTAGGATGCTGTACGCCTCAGTGCTCCGGTTCAGGGCCTTCAGGACTTGAGCTTTCCTGTCAGCGAACACACCGTTACAGCTCCGACACAAATGCCACAGATCGAGATCAGCAGTGAAGATTTGAGGCTTGCCGTTACCTGTAGAGACCTTCTGTCTTGTTTAGGGCAGAGATGGCGGTGACCAGCGGCTCCGCCAGGTGGTATTTCCCTTCGTTCATGTGCCTCTCAAACTGGATTTTCAGATCGCACAGCATCCAGAGCTGAATGGGATATTTAGATACACAAAAACAGAACATTATGAACATTTCCTCTCATGTACAAAACCAAAACACGACAACCACACCGACTAAAGACAGAAATCTGACTTTTTGACGAGTTTTACCAAAAAAAAAACTACAATCAGAATCAGGATTAATGCTCAGTAGGTTCTCACATACAAGGATTCTCCTTCAGTATATTGGTCGACATAAACTACCACAGTAGTTACAGTGTCTGTATCTGTAGAATATGTCACAGAGTGAACACTTCCTGTACCTGTTTCAGATTAAAAGCTCTCTCTGTGCACAGAATCCATTCATGTTAACAAGGCTTTTATTGTATTGTATAAAGATAGAGCTGGCAGGATTTCCCTACAGGGATCAATAAAAGGATAACTTCCCTGTTTTACCCAGCTAAAGCAGGCCAATAATTCCCCTAGCTGTTATCTGTAATTACAAAATATCTGTTTCTTGCTCATTTTGTTTGTTGCTCAACAGAATTAAACCAGGTAGTAACTCAACCGCTCTATGGATTGTAAACAAACTAGGTCAAACTGTTTGGTTTTATCTGCATTCAGTGAACACCAACAAGGACTTTTTGGGGGTTAAAAATGTGGCACTGCAACGTTTTCATGCGTATGTTTGAGCAGTTCTGTGCCTTTTCTAGGACAGCACTGAATAATACAGGAAGGCTGAGCGAGCGCACCTTGGCGTGCTGTGAGTGAGGAGGAAACTGCTCCTTCAAATGCTGGAGAATCTCTGACACCGCTCCGTACAGGCCCTGCGACAGAAGCACACAAGACAAAGAGTTAAGTGCTGGGCTCCATCTGAGCTGGAAAGAAGAACCCGATCAATGTTTATTAGCTTCCCGTGACGCCGGGCCAACTGGCTAATGGATACGCAGCAGCGGGGCAGAGCGGCAGACAGACGAGATCGAATCAGATACGTTACCTGCTCAGCGTGCAGCTCGGCCAGGTGGCAGAGCGCCACGGCGAACGCCTCCGTGTTGTTCTGCTGGACCCCGAAGTTGACGGGCTCCAGACTGCTCATGTTGAGCAGCAGCTGGGCCTGCTGCAGAGCCATGGTGCTGCTCACGGCGCACACAGGACGCCACAGAAAGGACAAACAGTCAAGTCAAGTTGTGCTTTTAAAGATTTACACTCGTAATGACAACTTTGTCTTGTACATTAGATGTCTGAAATGTTCATTCATGCATAAAAACTGATTTAATGTGAGTGGGGGGGTGTGTGTGTGTGTGTGTGTGTGTGTGTGTGTGCTGTCCGCTGTCGACCGGCGGTGGCGAGCTGGAGAGCCTGACCTCTTGCCGTACATCCTCCATATGGACGTAGTCTGAGCCAGGCTGATCTCGATCAGCTCCGACAGACTGTGCTTCCAGTGCAGGATGTCTGTGTCCTTCAGCGCGTCCATCAGCTTGTGGGCCGTCTTACCCTGCGTCGCCCCCTGCTGGACCAGAGACTGAATGCCCAGAGACGCCAAGTACTGCGGCAGAGAGATTATTGATCAGCGTGGGGGGGTGATGTCATAGATAAAATACACACAAACGGCAGGTTTATCCATGTAAAATGATGCATTCTGGGTTGGTTGTGTGTCATTTAAAAGGAGGAATACTGACAAAGAAAAACTGTTTATAATCAGTTTGTACAAAGGAACAAAAGTTATAATTAAAACATTAAAATGTGATGATGATAAACGAGCATTCAACTATATATCTTAAAGGAAAATGAGAAACAGAATTCAAGATACAAATTTCCCCAGAAAAAAACTTAAATACATCAAACATCCACCAAATTATCTTGGAAAAATGTGATCAGTGTTTCACATCCATCTATCTTTATCAGATCACTCAGATATATTATAGAAAAGACGCAAAATATGAATGTTTTGGGAGAAAGACATTAGGATGTGATGATCTCTCTGGGAGCTTTATGGTCTGTCTGAGTAGTTTGAGTAGAAAATGTACAAATATGAGACATGTATCTGGTCAAAATGTTGTTAATAGCTGGTAAAAACAAAAAGCTTTCACAATGAAGTGGAGTAAAGTGGATCCTCCTACTTAGAAACAATGGACCGAGAGAGGAGAGAAAATCTACATAATGGAAAAACTGACACATTGTTTGAAAGAAATGGTTGTTATTCAGGATCCAAAACGGCGACGGAGACTAAAGAAGTTACATAAAAACTCACAAAAACACTTTGTCTGTGTGTCCGTTTATACGTTAATCTGTTGGTTTTACATGTTGAATTATTTATACGGCATTTTAAAAGGAATTTAAATGGAATAAAATAGTTTTTTAGTATTACAGAGTGTAAACAAACCAGCAAAAACTGCTTCTGTTGATGGTGAAAACTTGTATTTATACGGTAAAATATGGAAGAAAACTTAAAAATCAACAGTAAATACAGTAACTATATTATGGGAATAATTCTGTAATCAATAATTAATGGACACCCTGCAGCCAATCATGGTATAATACAATATATTCAACACTACAGTACACAGTAATACTGTTTCTTCTACAGTTAGTTTGTTAATTACTGTGAATTTACTACAAACCTCTACTTCTACGGCTCCTTTTTGCAGCTGCAGACTGTGTTTTGATAAAAATGTGTTACTGTTTGATAGCATTTTAAGCATTTCAGCAGTTGACAAACATATATAATGTTGTGCTGCTCTGTTAAACTTCTGGCACAGCATAGCATCTGATTTAATGTCAGTGTTTTCAGTTGGTTTATGGTGAGATTTTGAGGCCAAAAAAGTTAAATTACAGCCATTTTCTGGACTGAAACTGCTGCGAAAAAGTGAGCCAACAATTAATGAACGTCCACTTTAATCCAGGCATTCGTGTGTGTTTAAGAGCTCTCTGTGCACTCACTGGCAGGCAGAAGTGGGCAGCCATTTTCACCGAGTCCTCAGTTAACACCGTGCTGTCAGATCCTCTCGTCTGTTCCAGCGTGTAGAGCCAACTCTGATGTCGGACACAAAGACAGAGAGGAATAAAGCGAAGACAACGCTCGTTAAATTCACACATAATGAGCCATCAATCTGCAACAGCGACAGGATGAACAGGAGGAAAAAGGGTTTTTACCAGACAGTGCTGCAAGCACACGTGATCATTGGACTCCTGGGCAATGCGGATGGCCTCCTGCAGAGCCAGATCGGCCTGCTGACTGAGAGAGAGAACAGATGTATAAGCTTTGTTTCATACAGATAGTCTGTCAGTTTTTCTTGACAATACAGGACACAAACAGTCTTATAATTCTCCAGTCGGCCTTGTAGGTCGTCAGCGTTAATTGGACACTCCGCTGTGGTTTTAGCTGAAAGGTTTCCAGCGATTGACTACAGTTTACTGAAGGTTCCCTTCTAACTGTAACATTAATTTGCCACAGCTTATAAGAGACAGTTCGACTCAGGTGGAATTTATTATATTTTACAGAAAATGTACCTTCTAGAAAGTGAAAGTGTTGTTTACTCGACAAAAAAAGCTGCAACTTCGATTCGCTTCTGGTTCTATTTATGTCTTTTATCAGCTTTATAGTTGTTATTTTTTAATGATGATCTTTTATTCTTTTAATTCTACCTCACTTCTGTGTTTCTGTATTTCTTTGACTTTATTTTGCCTTATTGCCTCCTGAATGTTTTTAATCCTGTTTCCATGTAAGTTGATCTGAGTGAGCAGCTAAAACACAATCAACATTCTTCAGGACAACACAGATTATTTCCTGGATATTTGGTCATTTTAGTAGATTTCTAGATGTTTCCACGACTAGAAAACAACTTTAAAAATTTCCAGGATGTGTGGGAACCCTGTCTGACCCTGAACCCTGACTCATACTCCTCCAGCTCTCGTACTCACTAGTGGCCGAAGCGGCAGTGCAGGCTCGCCAGGTTGAGGGCAGCGTAGCGGAGGCTCCGGCCGTAGCCTTCGTCCCCGTTGCTCTTTCCCTCGTTTCCAGACAAGATGAGGCGGTCGAAATAATGTAAGAGGCTGTGGGCGGAGAGGAAGATGTCCTGGACTCTCATGCTGTTGAGGTAGTTGAGGTAATGCTGAGGAGAGAGTAACAATCACAGAGCTGATGAGGAAGATATTTCAGGACAACAAAATTGAACAATGAACAAGAGGATGAAATGTAATAAAGGAGGGAAAGTTCAGTGAATGGATCTCACCGCTTCAGCAAAATCTGGGTTAAACTTCAGCATGTTGTTGAGCTCCTCCTGCAGCGCGGCGGGCTTTAGAGCTTTGTTCTCGTCGTTCTTCAGGAGATAAGCCTGCAGAGAGAGGTGTTCAAACTGTAAATGAACTGCTCTTATTACAGTGCTTCTCTACCGTAACGGACAAAGAGCCGCACAATCGGCCTCTCACTCAACCACTCACACACTGATGTGACGGGGCTGCTCAGAGTTCAGCGTCTTACCGAAGGACAGTTCGACGTGTGGACGGGAGGAGCTGAGGATTGAACCGACAACTCAGAGATTAGCTCTACCTTAAAGGACCAGTGTGTAGGATTTAGTGGCATCTCAACTGAATACAGCTCAGCCTTCCAAGCGAGTAGGTGGACACGAAACTCACGTAAAACTCGACACGTCTCATTCTAAAAGGTAATAAAACCCAATTTGTGTATTTTGTCCTTATAAGGGAAACTAAACTGTGTGTTTCTGCACTTCAGATCTCCTCCAACCTGCTTCTGACAATGCTGATGTATGCATGCGGTATTTTATTTTGAAAACTGACCGGATTCTCTATGCCGTTTGCGTCTGACTTCCTGCCAGTACAATCTGCTCTGGTTTGAACAAGAAAATACAGTTCAGTTAACGTCAGCCTTGATTCAGACGATAGTAATCGAGCAGTTAACTATTATCTGACATTTTGAGATAATTGGCTGATAAACAAAATCTGTCTCATCAGTGTGATTGCAGCTGAACGGTGTTAGGAAGATACTTTGAGGCTGTAACTCTCATGTATCCTGCTGAAAACGTTTGCTCAGCCACTTTCCTAAATGTTAACACTTTCCTCCTAAGTGGCAGCAAATCTAATCTTAAACTGTTGATGGTGTTATATATCATAATGTACAGAATAATGCAGTTGAATGTCTCTAAGGGCAGACTATACCCACTGGATAATCTACTGTAGATAGATTAATAACAAATCAATTTAAAACAACATGTCACCGGCTAAGATAATAATGAAATTATACGTGACTTTTCTTGTCTTAATAACGTTCTGCTATCTAAATATTGAACAACCCGTATCGGTTGACCACTGAGACACTCACCTGTCTTGCAAGAAAGTACTCTGCTTGTTTTTGTGACAGGGGACCTCTGCTGGGAGCGTTGTCGTTTCTACATCAGAGACAAAACAACACCAAAAGCTGTTGGTTAAAAGTTACTTTCTACCACGTACATAAGACTCTAGATTATATATTTAGAAGGCCAGTGTGGACGTGTGTTTCCAGCCGCTGTAACTCTCACAAAGCAGTAGATAAAACAATAAACCTCAGTCACTGACCTCAGCTCGGACTCATGCAGCGGGGTGTCCAGCTCCTCTTTGTCTATTCTGTCCCCGACGGCGTCCTCCGGGTTGGTGAGGTCCATGTCGGAGTCGTCAGCGACCAGCGCCGGCAAACCCACCTGCCCGTCGCTGGGCTTGGCGTAGTGGCTGTGGTAGTACTGCTGCAGGGACTTGTACAGCTTGTACACCTGACTGAAAGACAGCTTGTCGTAGGCCAGAAACATGTGCCTCATAAAAAGACCTGAAACACACAAGTGAGACGCAGCTTTAACGCTTTAATGAGATTAAAGACGAGGTGATTCAGGACTTCCTGTCGGTGGCGTGAACTCACCCACAACGCTGGTTTTATAGGCCTCAGAATCAAACGCAATGTACGGATTGGGGAGGTCGTAAAAGAAGTATTCCATGTCCTTCAGCTCTCCGTTGGCCATTTCATGGAGCCTGTGAGGGGAAAAACAACATGTCAGTACTTTAACATCACTCTGTCCTTTATGCTGTCTTCATCCTGTCTTTATTCTGTCATCATCCTGTCTTTATTCTGTCTTTATACTGTCTTTATACTGTCTTTATTCTGTCTTTATTCTGTCTTCATCCTGTCTTTATACTGTCTTCATCCTGTCTTCATTCTGTCTTCATGCTGTCTTCATGCTGTCTTCATGCTGTCTTCATATTGTCTTCATGCTCTTTTCATGCTGTCTTCATACTGTCTTCATCCTGTCTTTATTCTGTCTTCATGCTGTCTTCATATTGTCTTCATGCTGTCTTCATATTGTCTTCATGCTCTTTTCATGCTGTCTTCATCCTGTCTTCATCCTGTCTTTATTCTGTCTTCATGCTGTCTTCATATTGTCTTCATGCTCTTTTCATGCTGTCTTCATGCTGTCTTCATATTGTCTTCATGCTCTTTTCATGCTGTCTTCATAGACGGTAGAAGTCAGGGACATTGGTTATTAGGCTGCAGCTCACTGTTTTTTTCTAGGGAGGCACCCAATTTCTGTGACAATACTGATGTTTAAAAGAATAATTTGGCTGTTGCAGATGTTTTCGTTGTTATTTATTCAACCTTTTGTGGCTGGAAACAAAGAAATTAAAGATAAGCTGCCTCGTTGCAGCTCAGTTGATTTCTTTTCTCGTTCATGATGTGAGACGCAGACCACTGATATCAGTGAATGCCATCTTATTTACCGCCGTCAAAGGGTGCATCCCTGATAGTTTCATTATCGATTAATCTGCCAGTTGTTTTCTCAGTTAATCGATTAGTTGTTGAAAATGTTGATCACTAAAGCCACAGATTACATCCTCAAATGTCTCATTTTGTCTACAACCCATAAATATTCAGTTTACTCTCATAAAGGATCAAATAAACCAGAAAATATTCATAATTTAGAAGCTGAAAACAAAGAATTTTGACATTTTTTCATAAACAAAACATTGAATTGATTATTAAAATAGTTGGAGATTAATTAAATATTATGACAACTAATAAACAACTTGTTGCAGCTGTAGTTATTATGAGAGTATAAAAGTTTACATTGTGATTGTGTGCTGAAAGTTCCCGAACTTAAGAGACTTTTATATTCATTAACCTATAATTTAAAATAAGTAAGTATAATTACTCATACACAAATCTACACATACCGAGTATAAACTGTCATATCCAACTCCCTCATGTATATAAAACACATGAAAAATTCCAGCACCACCTTTTATATATACATATACTTTTATATATACATGTGTGTGTATTATATCTGTACATAACAGTCTATGCAACATGAAACTGGAGTCAGATTCCTTGTTACACGTACCTGATTCTGATACAGACCGCTGTTACAAGGCTGCATGCTACAGATTTGAGTTTATATTATCATTAATTATCTGGATAATTAAATTATAAGTTCATAATAACAATAATAGAAATAATAATGATGTTTTTTTTATTTCTTATGCCAAACGTTTGATTGGCTTTATGTTCTATGAAAGACTTTTCAAGATAAAGAAGTTTTAGAGAAAGGATCTGGATGTATAAAACCTCTTAAATCCAACCGGGTCGCCTGCGTGAGGCTGTTTTTGTTGTAAACAATAGTGATATCTGTTAGATTTCAGTTAGAACCGAGCTCTAAAACATTAAATAATCCATATTTGCTCATAATATCAGAGGTTGTGAACTTTAAAATAAGAAAATGTGTAATTATCAGTTAACTTATTGGCTAAATAAACTCCATATTGTGCATCCATACTGAGTAAATAAGTGAAACTGAAGCAGCCTACTTGAGTTTGACAGCATATGCAGTCTGAGGGCAGCACTCCTCCACAGTCTTCAGGAACTGACCCAGACTCAGATCTGGACCCTGACAGGAGAAAACAAAGAACAACAGCTAATAATTATTTCAACTATTTCATGCAATTTATCTTATCGTCCTTTGTAATTGTAAATTGTATTCTTGCTGTTTTCTGTCAAAGCACTGTGTAAACCATGTTTTTAACAGTGCTATACTACGGAAGCGTATCGCATTCACTTGAAAATTTTGTTTGTTTTTCTGAGTAATTATTTGTGTTTTTCGGAGTAATTTATTTTTATTGTTGGTTTTTTGGAGTAATTTTGTTCGGAATATTTTTTTTTCTTCTGTTTTTCGGACAAATTATTTTTCTGAGTTTAGAGAGCATTTAAAACAATAGGCGCATTCATTCATACTCAGAAAAACAGAAAAAAGATTCAGAAAAACAGAAAAAATTACCACAAAAAACAAAAACAAAATGACGAAAACGAGAAAAAAGACGAAAAAGAGAAAAAATTACCATGAGAAACAAAAAATAATTACCACAAAAAACAGAAAAAAATGACGAAAAACTCTGTAAAAGAATTACTCAGAAAAACCGGAGTTGTTTTTTTATATATAATTTTAATAATGACATTAATAATAAATAATAATAATTAATAAGGACCTGCTGCAGCGGGAGGATGAGCTTGTTGAGTGCTCGGTCCATAATAATAATAATAATAATAATATTTATAATGATATTAATAATATTAATAATAATAATAATAATAATAATAATAATCGATAATCAATAATCAGTAATCGATAGTGAGGACCTGCTGCAGCGGGAGGATGAGCTTGTTGAGTGCTCGGTCCCTAATAATAATAATAATAATATTTATAATGATATTAATAATAATGAATAATCGATAATCAGTAATCAATAATCAGTAATCAGTAATCGATAGTGAGGACCTGCTGCAGCGGGAGGATGAGCTTGTTGAGTGCTCGGTCCATAATAATAATAATAATAATAATAATAATGATATTAATAATAATAATAATAATGATATTAATAATAATCGATAATCAATAATCAGTAATCAGTAATCGATAGTGAGGACCTGCTGCAGCGGGAGGATGAGCTTGTTGAGTGCTCGGTCCATAATAATAATAATAATAATAATAATAATAATATTAATAATAATGAATAATCGATAATCAATAATCAGTAATCAGTAATCGATAGTGGGGACCTGCTGCAGCGGGAGGATGAGCTTGTTGAGTGCTCGGTCCCTAATAATAATAATAATAATGATATTAATAATATTAATAATAATAATGATGATATTAATAATAATCGATAATCAATAATCAGTAATCAGTAATCGATAGTGAGGACCTGCTGCAGCGGGAGGATGAGCTTGTTGAGTGCTCGGTCCATAATAATAATAATAATAATAATAATAATATTAATAATAATGAATAATCGATAATCGATAATCAATAATCAGTAATCGATAATCGATAGTGAGGACCTGCTGCAGCGGGA